AAAGATAGAAATAAGCCTCGAATTAGTAAAACTTGGCTTTGTATATGGTTGGAACCAGCGACCTTGAGAATTGGAGTCTTACGCCGTCTTCTCGGCGACGAACGGTTAACAACCGAAAAAGACTAGTCACAAATAAAGCAGCTACATATGTCAATAAATTGCCAATGCTATGCAGCAAAAGAGGAATCGAATACAATTTTGCAAGTAATAGTTCGGTATAACAAACTGAAGGCATCCACGCTGATTTTGAATGTAATAAACTGGAAAGCATTAAGCCGCATAATGTATAAATTATGCATTTTAACAAATTGCTAGCTATATTGAGTTAGAAAATTCCTGAAATCGAGTTTTTATAATTGTAGTTTGAAACAAATAGCTTTTTTCGGCTTCTTACTATTCGAATGGTAAAATACATGCTATCAAAGAGCAGTAAAAGGGCTCCTAAAGTGGCACCAATATTAGCGACTTAGGTTAGAAAAAGAAGACTAGTCGTGCTATAACACTAACGCTTACTAAAGTTGACTAGTGTAAAAACGCAGGCGGAGCTGCACTTCGCAAACACCATTAAAAAAGCACGAGGACACAAAATCGTTCAGGATTAGAACCGCCGAGGAGCACCAGAGTTATAGTCTATCTAATGTCTTCACAACTACATCTTCTACCTGTCTTCAAACAACGGCCACCAATGAAGCGGAAAAAGCCCGTGCTATTCAGTTGCCAATGCTAAATTGCCAGCAACATTTCGATGAATCTTCGGCATGACCCCACAAAATAATTAAACAGCTATGAGCCGCATTTCAAGTAGCCCGATTATCAGAGGACAGTGTTTGAAAACATAACTTACGCAAAACATCAAGAAAATCATTTTATTCGAATAGTTGTGATCAGTTGTTGAATATCCAATTCATATCAACTTATGCGTCTTTCATCAATTATAGAATAGTCCCCATGAAACCTTGAGTCCTTGCTCTTTTTCGGCATCAGTCCGGCCCGTCTGGCAAAAGCAATAGCCCTCTGGACTTCCAACTGTCTCTCAAAACACAGTCCAGTTGCTCTGTTGTTCAGAACATTCCCTGTGAAAGGTGACACAAATTGTGATAACAGACGCACATTCTTATAGTCAACAGTGATATCATTTTTGCACAAAATGCACGGCTCAGGTTCCTTGATGAAAGGGTTTTTCATGCCTAACTTAGGCATGTTTTCGTCCATTGTAAATCTAATTTGAGGCGGAACGTCTTGAAGCTGAAGTCGTCCGTTCCTGTGTGCCCAGTACCTATCGTGTCGTTTTTTGGCAGACTTCCAGAAGTTCTCTCCCACATAGCGAAACCAATGAATTCGTGACCTTGGACCTTTTCCTCCCGTTGGTCCTACCCCGACACGCATCAAAAACTGAGTGAGTTTCATCACTGGTACCTGAAAGATTGATTGTACTTCAAACTCAAAATTTGCATAAATGGGCCTTTTGAAAATTTCAGGGTAGGACAGAAACGGATGTCGATAAAATTAAAGGCCAAACTTTGGCAGAATTTGGCAACTGTAATTGAAGTAGGGGTTCAAACAGGCTCTTTTCCCTTAATTGGTCATATATTAGTCAAGATATAACATTCAGATATCCGCAAGCCAAATATGCATCCTACAGACAACAAGACTGCACGTAGCAAGGCAAATCCCTGAATGTTCCGACTGCCTTTTAAGGTATATGGAGCAGCAATAACATAAATAAATTAATACTAATCAAATAATGAGAAATTTTTTTTTCTAGAATTTGAGATTTTTTCTGAAAATCATCCCCCCACACGCCATACAAAGTACAAAACGATAATTTTCGCTCCTTTTAACAAATCAGTTAGGGCAAGTAAGCTTCTTTTAACCAATTTGGAACGATTTCTAAGACGGATTAAATCTCAGCTTACGCGTTAATAGCGCAAAATATATCGTTCGTTAATTGTCCCAATTTGCCAAAATGGCCATCTTTAAACCCCCACAACTTTGCGAAAAATGATCACAGATGAAATATCTTTTCAAATTTGAGCTCAGAACAACAATACCTTTCGAATGATATAAAAAATTCTCTCGAAAATGGCTAGTTAAAAAGTCGAGATGTGTGAAGAAAAAAACCCAACCCCGAGCACAAATATTCCGTTACTTTCGTATCGAAAGTCAGAACAACAAGACTGCACGTAGCAAGGCAAATCCCTGAATGTTTCGTCTGCATTTTGAAGTAGTTCTTGTTTAAGTAAAAACAAAAAAAAACTATCTGTTATAAAAACTGTTTAAATTTGAGCTCGGGGCATCCGAATTTGTGAGATGATACAAACAAACTTGGTCAAAATATGTTCATTAAAAGGCGCACAACTGAAACTTGGATATTAAAAACCGCTTCACGATATAACACTACGCTCTGCTTGCGCATGAACAGATATTTCGAAGTTTCCACGAAACTGTTTTGGCGAGCTCCAGAAAAGCTTGTTTTTGTGTACATTCTGCTTCTTTAATCAATTACGCCCGGACTTTCTCATGTAACGCAAACAACTTCGAACAATTTTAAGCAATGAAAAAGGCGGCAATGGCTAGAAAAAGTGCTGGCGAAAAATACAAGCTATGCCAATGTAATCAATTCTCTTTCTGCAAATATTCTTTTTAAATATTCTCCCCCGCCTATTGCAAAAAAGGACACAAGTTAAAGATATACAAAATTCGCTAATGCTTAATCCTTAAATAAGTTCTTTATGGTGGTGGTTCACCTTTAATGAGAATCATAAAGGGAAATATATAGAGAGATCCAAAGGAATGACAATACTATGTTTCTGTATTTTGTATCGTGTATAGCACTTTGTTCTAAGAGCAAAATGGGGTTATAAATCGACAACGCTAGGTCCCATGGCTTCTTAAAGCATTATGTTAATTTTTTTGCAAGTAAGCAATAATATTTTAGTTAACTTTCTCCTAGCAATGATTAGTACAATACGCTTAAAAAACCGAAGCACTAGTTACTCATAAAACGGAGAATAAATGCTATTTAACTTCCAGTGCTGTGCAGCAAAAAGCCACCAACATGTAAACTATTTTAAGCGAGGTGGATTGGTAAAAAATGAACTCGTAATATAACACAGTGCTCACAAACTGGCTGGTGTAAGGACAAATATGTTTTAAAGAAACCGTCGATGGCCGGCCTAGAGACTTAAAAAAAGAGCATCTGCTGCCAGCCGTCCTCAGAAAACAATTATTAGGTAAGTTATTGCCAAAACTAGTGAATCGAATTATTATAGCACAAGCAAAAAAAATAACAGAAGGGTGGCAATAGTTAAATTTATTCAATCATTGGTAACTATTGCCAGTAGAAAATTAAAAAACCGCGTGGATCTATTTAACTATACCCCCTTTTGCAAGAGGCGGGATATTTGTTACTGGAAGCATCATTCACATATACTTAACCGCTAAAAAAATTTAAAGAGATCCAACCGCCTAATACTGGCAGCCGAGATGTGAACTTTAAGAACTGTTTAATAAATAACACTTAATTGTATATATCAAATTTGATCCCTCGGAAGCTAAAATTTTTTCATGTCAACAGAGCGATCTGGGGCTAATTCACTTATCAAAATTTTTTACTAAAAACTCAATTAAACAATTTATCGCGTTATTAAATTAATTGGTTCTTCTTTAGATAGAAATTGAAATAATTGATTCTTTCAAACAATGGTAGTTTCAATATTTTCCGAGACCCTGTGTACTGCTATCTATAGCATGTGGCCTAGGACAACAGAACGACGGGACTTCGATCCAAATGGACTTCAGGTCGACATTTCAACTTCAAAACGCCATTTTTTCTTGTAAAATGTTAGCTTTTAAATATTAAGGCAAGTTTAGTCCATTAAAAGCGTTGTTCATGACAATGCACAATTCAAGAAAGACATCCGTTAGTTACAAAAGCCGGATTTTGAAATGCATAAAATATACACATGAAAAACCTCTTCAAAAAATGTTTTAATTTTCAAATTTCTTAGCACCAATTCAAGGCTTAACTTTTATTAACATGGCCGACGAACAGTTAGAAAAGAGTCAATGAATACTGAATTGTTTTTTTAAAGAACCTCAGCTTTTGAATATCAAAGAAAAAATAGGTGACCTGAGAATTCTTTGAATGCTTAGAACAACTTATGATTGACACTTTTTTGATAAACTTAACCCAATTTGAAAAGACTGGATCAATAAGTAAAACTTTATATCACAGGGAAATCTGAAACTTTAAAATCCGAAATCTGGAAAAAAAATTACCAGCTTCGAAACTGGAATTTGATCACGTTTTTCGTTACTTCAACACTTTTGGTGTTTTATAGTGGAGTTTGCCTTCCTTTCAACAAAAGACATCAATTGAACTTAGTTAAACCTCGAAAAAGAAAAGTTAAACCTAAACAAGTTTTAAGACTTCCTGAAAAAAAATGAAAAAGAAAAATCGTTATCACCTATATAAAAGTCTGAAGGTTTATTACTCTTAAACAAAACTGCTCGTTTATCAGAGCGAAGCCCTGAATGTTACGACTGCCCCCTAATTCTTATCGAATAGTTTTTGGGAAAAAATAATGAAAACCTTAAATTTTTGACAATATCAAAGTGTGAAATTTTGAGTCGTACGAAATTAATACGACCGATTAGCTAGCCTCAATTCAATTTGGAAATATTTTGTTGTGCGGGATAATTTGCCACGCATAAATAATTCGCGTGACGCTCTCAGCATTATGAATAAATTCTTCAAAGAGCGCATAATTTAGTCCAGAACATGGCCAATTTGGAAATTTTCAAACCCCCAGAACTTTAAAAAATATATATCGGAGGTGAAATATCTTTTTACATGTGAACTCAGGAAGTCAATATCTTCAATGCAGTATAAAAAACTTGTTGAAAACCATTATTTCTATCGGCGAAAATTGATTGAATAAAAAACCACACCGAGCATAAATATTCCGTTTTCTTCGAAAGTCGGAACAAAAAACGAATATATGGCAAAAGATAAATTAAATTAGTAATTTTTCAAAACAGTCTTCAAACTTATCTCATTTTGTGACTTTTTGAGAAAATGTTTGACTTAAAGTTAATGATTCGGCACCTAATGGCATGATTAAAACTCGTGTAGTAAACATTTTTTGAGAATCTAAAAATTGATGTGGAAATTGCAATTGTGAGCGTATAAATACACATAAGAAGCAAAAAATTAATAAAGGCAAGGATAAATCGATAAACAAATTTGAACTTCTGCATCTGTCTTCCCACAAATGGCTTCTCAGTTAACTTATCAGGCAGACTTGATGAGACCGTACTCCTTCAATTTACCCAGAGCGTCCTCACTGAAACAAAAACATAAAAGAAATTTTCAGTGCAATAAACAGCCGCCCTTTAAGTTTTTGATAAGGTGCCTCGTTAATACATTGAGACTCCCATTTTGTGCTCATTTTTATAATAGGCCCAACAAAATTTCATCAAATGGAGTGTGAGTACTGATCATGAATGAAAGACACATTCGCGGATAATAAGTCGATCAAATTGTTTTCAAAGCTCTCCCAAAACAATACATAACAAAAACGCGCATAATTAGCCATTCTTTTTCCCGCCGCAGGTAAACTTTCAAAAATCGCGCCAAAAAAGCTGCTGCAGAGTGCTATTTGATCGGCAAGTTTGAACTAAAATATTGCCTTTTAGACGACGTCATCACTCATTCAAACTCATTTTGGCACTCAAACCGCTTATAATCAATTTAAGGGCCGTTCAGGCTAAAATGGATGCCGCAAAAATATCATGTCATAAGACGACGATTTGAGTTAACGATTCATGATCGATTTGAACATAAGTTGAAATCTGCTGCTAGCATGACTCATTGTTATTCTCACCACACGGATCTGATGGAGGACTGGTCAGTGCCGGGGGCCATAGAGAGGGCCATGAGTATCTCCAGAACCTCAGTGTCCTCAACTATGGACTCTGCCATGTTCCTGCTCCCATTGTGGATCAGGTTGTTCAGAATGTGAACTGCGCGTCTAACTAGCTCCCCATTCTCATTCACTAACAGTTCCTGGAAATATTTAAATTTATAAGCAAAATATCAAGTTCTATAGCAGCTTACATCTTCTCGCGTGTTCTCTTTTTTGAGGTGTATTCTGAGACACTGAAGAGGATGGAAGAAATGGCATAGCAAAAACAAATATACTAGCGCTAAAAATATATTTCGACATCAAATGAAACTTAAAACAGAAAAGAAGCAACAGCGATCAGCTGTTTTGATCAATGCTTAGCTAATTAACTACAATCATTGTTCCTTCTTCGTCGGTATGTATGAAATAACGAACTCTATCAAACTGACCTTGAGTATTCCCATCCAGCTCTTCACATTCATGATTTTATTGCACACATCCACACTGCCCTCGGACAGGATGGCCAGTCCCCCCGCGGCGGCCGATGCCAGTTGGGGGTCATCCTCGTGTTCCCCACAGTAGAGAGTCCACAGCTTCACCCTCTCGTTGTCCCCCTGGGCGAATTTGGTCCTCATGTCAGCACTGTGGTGCACCATATTCACCACACACTCCACAGCCGCACGACGCAACATGTCATGGTCTGCAGTACAAGAAAAAAATCAAGTTTAACTTTCAAAGTAAAATAGGTTTTTGCTGCACACAATTGTGACTGTTACTTTAGCGCATGGCAAAATTTATCAGAAGAAAATAGCAAAAGAATACATTGCCAGTAGAATAGTCCCACGGCGAAAATCTAAAAATTTCTTACGCTGGGTAGATTTAACGACCTTCACATACTGTGACACTTATAGGAAACTGTTGTGACGTACATGTTAAGACGTGAAACAAATTTAAGGATCCTTAAATGATGCCTCTCCACCTCTCAGAAGTTAGAGGCCCACCATGCCTGAGTGAGTCTCAATCATGCGCACAGCTTGTCATGCGCTGGTCTTATCACTCGTTGATAAATGGTGTTATATATATAGTTAGTGCACCCACCTTCGTACATGTACTGTTCGATCTTCTCCGCGTCTTTGTCCTTGATGAGTCTGTCCACCACTGAGGGAGATGCGTGAGTGATGTTGGTGAGGGCCAACAGGGACTCGAAGTTCTGCAGGGCACTACAGTCCATGTGGAGCAGTTTCACCAATGGACGGATCAACTCGTAGATGCGTTGGCCAGGGAATGCCTGCAAAATATTCACAATATCAGCTAGAGAAACACAGCTGTATTGAATTTCAATCAACGTTTTTTGTTCGAACTTTTAAAGAAGGCGCGGAATATTTATGCTTGAGGTGATTTTTTCATTCAGTCAATTTTCGGCTTTTTAACTAAGGCATTCTGACGGATTTTTTTTAGGCAAAACTTTGGCCTGAACTCAAATTAAAAAAAAAAAGATTAACTTGTGACCATTTTTTTTGTCAAATTACAGGGCTCTGAAAATTGCTTTTTAGGCCAATTTGGGATTAAAAAAGAGCGAAGCAGTGCGTTCTTATAACATGCGTAAGCAACATGCGTAAGCAACGGATTAATGCGTGCCAAAGTGAATTGAGGCTAAAAAATTTGTTAAGACGCTGAACACACCCTTTGCATTTCACATTGCGTGTGAATATGTAAAAAGATCGAATAAATGAAGAAAAAAAAGTTTTGTTTTGTCAATTATTTAACCAAAAAACTTTTAATAGGTCTTAAAAAGCAGTCGGAACACAAAGGGCATCGCCCTGATATACGAGCAACCTTGTTTTATCCTTCCTGAAAATTCCTTTATGTATATTTTTTAAATCGACTATTTTGAGAATCGATTTACCAATGTTTCCAATATTTCTCTTCTTAATTACTACCACAGAATTATCAGACTGATTGTTCCGACTTTCGAAGAAAGAGCAGAATATTTATGCTTGGTGTGGTTTTTTTGAAGTCAAATTTCGACTTCTTAATTATTCAATGTTGACAAAATCTTTTATACCATCTGTAATATATTGTTGTATTGAGCTCAAATTTCAGAACCTCACTTATAATCTTTTCTTGTAAAATAGCGAAAGTTACGGGGAATTGAAAATTGCTAATTTGGCCTATTTGGGACAATGAATGCGCGATATATTGTGTTCTTATAACACGCGTGAGCGGCTAATTAAAGCGCTCCGAATTGATTTGAGGCAAATCAATTGAGCGCATTATTCGGTCACAAGACGCTAAATACATATAGTTTACATTAGTGTATGAGGAAAAAATTGTAGAAAAAATGATGGAACAAAAACGTTTCGTTCATTTTTTTTTATCATTTCGTCAATTTTTCAACGAAAAACTTCTAAATCGACCTTAAAAAGCAGTAGGAAAATTCAGAGCTTCGCCCTGATATACGAGCAGTCTTGTTATAATTGATATTCATTGACACTGCACACTAAGATAAAAACTGATCCGTGAACTTGCATCAATTGCTGCAAAAGAAGTATGTTACGAGAGAGCGGAAAACATATAGGTTGACCGCCAAATCAGTATTTGTTTGATGGCGTTTGAACTAAATATCGTTGCTTGTGTAAAGTCGTGTACGACCTATTCAGTGAAAACTTTAGACTTGAATAAGTTGCTAATAATAAAATTGACCAGTGCCATGATTTAAGCAAAATTCATGGTATGTTGATTACATTTTTGCTAGTAATATTCACTAAGATAAATTCCATCATCGACACCAGGTGGATAAATTCTAGACACAGAGGCGAAGCTTCGCTTCGCAAACACTTGCGAGAACATGACAAAAAGCAGCTCTATAAAGAGCAATTATAATAAAAATTAGAAATAAGCCTGGAGTTAGTCAGAATTCGGCTAGTTCTGAGATTCGAACTTGTGACGTAAAGATTAAGCGTCTCAAACACTAACCACTCAGCCACGGAAGCTTCAAAGGCACCAAACACTAGCCATACATAAAGCAGAGAACTGATGCTATGCAATTTCAAATGCTACAGAGAAATTTCCAAATGATAGAACACTTTTATTTACGAATTAGGTTAGAAAAAAGAAGGTTCGTAATTTTACACTTAGTTGATAGCAAGTGTAAATAAAGCATTTTGCATTCCCCGTTTTCAATGACACTATGGGACGTCGGACGAACTAACAACAAGCATTCGAAAGTTATTTAAAATTAGTTCCGAGCTAGATGCAAAATCTTTGATAAGAGTGACGTAGCATCTGCAGTATTCTTTCCAAGGAAGCGGGCTGAGTTTTGAAAAAAAAATTAAGACCCTATTTATGTAGACCCTATTTCGTCGCAAATTTCTGCTGCGCAGGCGAATTTTTGGGCCCTCGCGAAAAGCTTTGACCCAAAAATAGCAATTTTTTGGCGCGCACTCCCCTCAATTTTCATTTATATTTGCACCCGCGCCTATGGAAACTTTTTTCAGTTGATCAACCATAAATGGGTGTCGCATTATTTGGCGAACAGAATGATATGGAAATTTTTGCAAACTGGCCAGAATTGAGGGGCTGCGGGGCACGCTGTGGGGCTTGCTACGCCTCCCCCTCAGCACATTACTTCTTGTGTAACTGACTACAATCAAAAATTATGTTCAGCTTTTTCAAAACATTACATGGGATTTTCAAATATAGCCAACAGAAAATTGGTAATGAGTCAATGAATGCAAGTAATAAAAAATACTGACTAGTTTGTTGAAGACTTGTTTGTTGAAAAAACGTTTGACTTTTTTCCGCTGGAAAATATCTGATTAAAAACCACTTTCAAAAAGAGGGGTGCCGGACATCAAGCCGACGGGACTTCAAGCCGAATCGTAAAATTAGGGACTTCAAGCCGATTAGTTCCTTAAAAACTTATGACATATGATTAATTTAACTTTTTTGAAGAATTTCTGAATTTCATGATCTTTCTTTACAAGTTATTGGCGTTTTCATAAAATTTAAGCCTCCAAATGATGTTTCGGAAAGTTGAAAAATAAAACACGGTTGAAGGTGCTTTTCTTGTTTATAATTTTTGCATTTCAAAAACCGGCTGATTTTAGTAACGGATGTCAATCCTAAGTGATTCATTGTCATAAATAACGCTTATTATGGACTAAACGAGCCTAAGATTTTGAAAAGCAACGTTTAACAGATGAAAAAATAATGATTTGAGGTGCTTGTAAAGTTTAATTTTCGGCCTGAAGTCCCTTCGGCTTGAAGTCCCGTCGGCTTGTTGTCCTAGACCCCAAAAAGAGAGCTCGATCTTGTTTTTCGTGACTTTTATACTTTGCTGTACCTGTTAACAAACGAAATGATTTCAACTTAAAAAAGTCAAACCGCGAAAATTCAAATTTGAGCGTGAATAAATTTCGGATATACTTAACAATCTCCATCCTTTTCAAGAATGAGGGGGGGGGGGGAAGGATTTTTTAGTAGATCAAAATGCAGGGTAGCATAAAAATCTGATGTATTTTCTCAATTGATTTAAATCCGATTTTTATTATTTATCTTTGATTATTTTGATTTTTATTGAACAAATTTTTGTTTCAAGAATCAATTAATTCAAGTGAAATTACTGATTCAGCACCCGAAAGCAGAACACAAAAACTGCAAGCTGCGATGTAAAAAGCGTAGCAGAGTTCAAGTTGAAAGTGTGCGGTAGAAGAGAGAAATCGGTAATCAATGCATATACTGCACAGCTGCTATTTTTGTTTACCGCGGCAGGATGACAAAAAAACTTACGCAGTTGATTTTTATTCTTTGATTAAAATTGGATTTAACTCATTGATTTAAATTAGGGGGGGGGGGGGGGGAGGGTGGGGAGAGATTGTTAAGTAGATCCTAAATTATTCCTGAAAAAAAAAACAATCAGAAAAAATCAACAAGACCTATTTAATAGAGTAAATTTTTCCTGAATGGTAACCTTTTTTGCTTATGGTAACCTTGAACGTTTTATTGACAAACTCCCTTGGCTTAAGCCGTTTGAATCAGTGATCACAAATTCTGGATATGGGTTGCAAAATATCTCAGCTATGGGCCATATAAACAACGTAATTTTAAAATTATGAACGTAAAACTGAACAAAACCCTAAGTTTACAAAATAAATTAAAAATAAATGATTGGGTTTTTCTTAAAAGGTAAATTAAAAACCAATTACATTAACAACTATCTGAGCTATCAAGTACAAACTACTCAGTTTCATACATCAACATACTTTCAACTAACATATATCAAGTTTTTATCCAAATTATTCAGCTTCGAATCCGGATCAGTTCAAATAGACAGTTTTCTTCTCCAAAGAACTTGCTCATGCTTTGTGCTGAATCCTTTCTATTGGAATCTCTCGCACGGATGGCTTCTTCGGCTCTTTCACCTCCCGCTCTGCGTGAACAACCAGGGAGCCATCGTCCATCATCTTCGTCTTCAAAGTGTCCATCTTCACATCTTCCGGAATTGAGAAGGCTTGTGAGAATGTCTTCGTTCGTTTGTGGGTTCCATCCGAACTTTGCCACTCCGTATTTCCTGACATGGTCAAAGTGTTTCCATCTAATTGAACATTCACCTCCTCGGGTTTGAACCCTCGAGTGTCTACCACTGACGCCCAGTCGTCTTTTCCAACTCCCGCAGCGTCCCGGAAATTCCTCATTTGCTCATTGTTCACACCCGAACCGAAGAGAGAATTGAGGCTTCTGCAATCGTTTTCCACCCAATTGTCTTCTTCGTCTCGTAGAAGAGCTTGTATCAGGTTGTCAGCGTGTGGAGAAAGCCAATTCATTCGACTCGGGTAGAGTGCTGCTGACGAAGATGGTCGAGAGCGCGTGTTTCCGGGACGGACCAGCATAAACGGATCGTAATCGCCAAAGCTTCGAATCATTTTGATCGTTTTTTTTTCGTTGATTGCTATGAGAAATATGTTGAAGCAAGTGAAGAATTGCGGTTGCAAAATAAATTTAGCGATGAAAGTTTTCTTTTTTCAGATTAAGGTCTGAATGAGACGGTTGAAAGAATGCATATTTATACTTCACAAGAATATTCTGGAATAAAATGGAAGCTATAAAGAGAACAAGCAAGAAAAAGGAGAATAATCTAGAAGAAATACCAAATGTAAAGAAGATTAGAGAGCTGAGAATGTTCTAGAATTTTACGCTGCAATTCTACTAGAAATCTCGACGTGGTATTGAATTAATGTAGCTGCGTATAGAACTTCTTTTGGTATGCCATTTAAAATTGCACCAAGGCCAAATCATTTTCTTTGAGCACAGCACCTCCTCGGCAGTTCTAACACCCTACAGTTTAATTAAGACAATATATAATTGCGCAATGGTGGATTTTCTCCGTAGCTATGAACGAAGTATTCCATAGAATTTTATTTTCAGAGCGCCCTTTTCGGGAATTGCAGCCGAAGTTAATAAATCAGCAGACAGGCAACTCATCCATTTGCTTGTTTATCTGATCAACGCTTGTCGCCTCAGAAAGCGGCATCATTCCCAGTAAAAAAAATAACCCAAAAGGAGGAGTTGCACAGAGTTCTAATGCTGTGATACAACAGCGTTACTCCACAGGGAAGCAGGAAATGAGAGTATTTTTGGTTTTTACCAACAGCCGAAATGGACAATTCAAATTTCGGGTCTTTTTACTCATTCCGCCCAACATAATTTAACAGCTGTATTTAATTTCAACCAATCAGATTTGAGCACTGGGTTTTCTGTTTTCGTATAAACAGTAAAAAGACACCAAATTTTGAGTTAAAAGATTAAAACGAAGCTGATCGGATAAAATTATTTCACTGGCATAGTTGAAATAAGCCTATGTATGATCCCAAACACGAAAAAGAAACTAAGTTGTGAAAAAGAAACTTTAAAAAGGCGTACCAGCTCCTTATTGAGAACCCCTATTTGACATGAACTCGAAGCGAAGCATGGATGATTTTAATTTGCTCTTGGAATGGTTAAACGTAAATAAATCAAACCTACCAACCTGGTCGGGGTTTAGAGTGATTCCAACCCTGGCCAACGAGTGGGCTGCGAATAGTTGACCCACTTTAGTACCCGACTTGGACAACTCCAGCAGACATTTCACACCTCCTTGCTGAACAACCTTGCCTCTATGCTCGACCTCTTTTGTAATGGCGAAGAACACTCGCGAAAAAGATTCTTTGGTAGCCTCGCTTTCACTTTTATGCGCGTTAATCATGGCTTCTATGACCCCTGTGTTGACTAATTTGTTCACCCGTTCTTTAATGTAGTCATCGGCGTCGAAAGGGTGTGTTTCCGGTACGTGGTATTTGGCAAACTGGGCTAGTTTTTCCAACTCTGGGTTCTTTTCCGGTTTGTCGAAGGCGTTTGTCAGATTGACGAGGATGTTGGCGACTGAGTGCAAGATGGTTTGATCTGCTGCTTTGGCCACTAAAACACGCAAACACTTTCATGTCGCTGAACTTTTACTTATATGGTAAAAACTACAGCATGGACGCAAATTTTTTACTACTCTTTCCGATTGAAAACTTAAGATTGCTGTAGAAAAAGCATATGACCAAATTTGAGCGTTCAGTGACCTTTGAACAGTCCAGCTAGTGCCTCACTGTCTCCGACCAAGTCCTCCTTGACATCTGCGTCTAAAGAGAGGAATGCGACCCCGTCCACCCCACACCTCACCAAGAACGAGTCTTCACTCTGCATCAACATACGACACTCCTCCGCCAGACCCATCAGAGAGGCACTGTCAAGCACCTTCGAGGACTTGTCACTCCCGCCTAGAAAAAGAACTATTCCAGTAAAAACAATACTCGTGGATTGTAAAATGCCATGTTTATAATCCACAGCCATTTCTTATGACAGAATAGGACACTGAAAAAAAAATTTTAACCCAGAGGCGAAGCTGCACTTCACACCATTTGCGATACAAAACCAAAAAGCAGCTAAGTCGGCAAAAATCGAAAATGCCAAAGAAACTGGATCTATCAAAATATATCAGGCTAGTTTTTAAACAAAAACATGCCAAGGCAAAAGAATGTGAAATTCGCATCTGAAGAAAACTTACAAATTAAACTTACAAGAAAACTAACAAAATCATCACGACTTATAAAAGTTAAGTTAACAGTCCCTCCCCCTCACCCTCAAAACAAACACACACACACAAAACTTTTTTTAATCGTCAAATGAAAATATTTGAGGCCACTAAGCCGATATAGTACAGGCCGAACTCCATTGAGCCGAAAAAGAAGGAAAATAAAATAAGCAAAAGCCGAAAAAAAATCAAAAAATTTAAGACTAAAAACTCGCCATTAAATAAACACACGCACAAAAAAATATGTCGCTCGTCAATAGACGCAACATGAGGCCAATAAAACGATAAAATATAGGCCGAAACCTATCAAGCAGAAAAAAAAAGAAACGCCGAAAAAAATGTACAGCTCAAGAAAAACTTGAACTGTAATTTCTATCAAGATTACAGCAATTTGTGCAATCCAAAGAGCATAAAAATTATATTTCCGTAAAAACGACTCAAAACTAGGTCACGAAGCCCATACATTTCAAGCCTAAATCATTTGGGCAGAAGAAAGTTTTTGAGCGAAAAAAAAAACAAAAAAGAAAAGATACGAAGTCAAGAAATTTCAAACAGCAGAAGTAAATAAAAACACTTAAAGCATCAAAATGTAAATTCCGTACAGCAAAAAAAAACAATTATAGCATGTGCAACTAAGCCGCAAAACATAAGCAGACGAATAAAAAGCCGACATTTTTTTGAAACGGAATATTTCCCGTTTGAAAAAAAAAAGGTCCTGTCAGATTTGAACCCCGGACCTTTGCGGTCCCAGGCGTTATAGTTACCTCTAGGAAAGGTTGCCGGAGAAGAAAATTTGAATTCTTTATGAATTGAACCTAAATTTACCATTTATAACTTTGACCGTTCTGTGAAAAAAGTTATTCACGGGAAAAAAGTCTTGTACGAGATTGCAATACCCTTGCTTAACGCAAAGGTAATGAGGCCAGTTAATAACAACGGCTAACGAATACGTAGAGTAGATGTCTCGCATTAAAACTAATTTGAATCATTTTGTGAACAATTTGGAATTACATAATTTAATTTGCATACTTGCATAATGTTTTTTTTAAACTGAATTGACAAAGTTTTATGTGAATCTCTACTGACCAGCTGATCCAGTTTTGCACAGTCCGACTAACGCCTTTGCTCTCACTTCAGAGTCAGTGGATTTAAATAACTCCTGCAAAACATCCACGCCCCCTTGCAACAAAGAAGCGCCCACTGACGCCTTAACAGACGCCTGAATGATACACTCAAGGGCTATCTTCTGTCTGTCAACTGAATCTGATCTGGCCAGTGCCAACATTACGTCCACTCCATTGAGCATACCGATCATTTCGGTTCCAACTTCCCTCGGACCTTGAAGCAGCGCAATCAAACATTTCATGCCTTTGCATTTCATTTCAACACTTGATTCCTCTTCGACCAAAGGTTTCACGTATGACTCAATGTATTCACGGAAGTTGTTCCGTTCTTGATCACTCTGCAAGTCCTCGAAGAACTTGTGAAGAAACATCGACACGTGAATAGGCGTGTTTACTGTAGTCGCATAACCACCGTCCTCGGCGACTAGTTTCAATAAACGAGTTACCACCGCGCTTTTCATTAGCAGAAGCATTAATCCGCAACCTCCTCGACGCAAAAAATTTCGAAGCAGAAGTTTGATACAGTTATCGCGACCGACACTCGACATGCTGGGGTCAACCAAAAGGTCATTGAGGTCAAGACACATACTTTTAAACTTTTCTTTGTCACCTTTGTACTGAAACTGAGCCCTATCAATATCCGGGTCAATGCTGAGAAGGGCATCCAGAAATGATTGGCAGAAACGGGTACAAGCATCGCTGATTGGTTCGTTATCAGATCCAATGCCTGAAATGAAATCAAATCATAATTCAAATGAAACAAGCATATAAGCCCAACGATCTTATCGTCCGGAAAATTTTTGACCACTGGAGCAGTATTAGAAAAAGTATATGTAAAAAACCTGGTAAACGTTTTACCTTTTCGGATACGCTCGATCTTGACAATAGACAACATCTTGAGAGCCAACACTTCGCTTTTGCATAAGTAAAACAGCACAGACCACATTTCGGACACCATTTTAGCTCGTTCTTCCTGTGTGTTGTCCACGAGTGCAACTATGCGTAATAAGTTGTTTGTTTCCAGTAGTATACTGGACCCTCCCGATTCATTCGCCAGTATAGCCATGTTGTTGCATGCCTAAAAATATCCTGAATAAGTTTTTGAATTACTTACATTTTAGGATGCAGTTAATCTAAGATTGTGAAAATATGCCCATTCTGAATGACAAAGCGCTCCAAATTTAGACTTATACTGACATCATAATAAAACAAGGATCACCAGTTACTGAACAAGTAGCACAGAATGTTCCGACCATAGTCTTTAAAAAACACAAAAGTGTATTTTTTTCAAATTAGTGTCGTTATTTCTTGGTGGTGCGATAAAAAGATCTGAACAAAACCTAGTCATTAGGCAAGTTCGATTGTCATTATACAATGCAATGGGCAAATCGGAAAACAATTTTTGAAGAAATTTACTCGAAAAAAAAAACATCTTTGAAAATCACAATTTTTTTCAATTCTTTTGCGGAATTTTTTTTATTTTTGATTACTAAAAGGGCGTTAAAAAACTCCAAAAACTAACATTACTCATTTAAAACTAAAATTAAGCATATATAAGTTATTATAACCGGCTTAAATTAAGCATAAACAAGCCTGCTCGCTCGCTTTACTCGCTCAAACTTAGACGAAAAATCAAAAACTTCAAACCGGAAAAATCAAAAACTCCCCGAGCAACATGTGTAAATTATTGAAAATAAAAAATGGAGGCTAAGTAGTTCCTTTTATTGCTCCAACCATTGAAAATGGGGAGGAACTTCGTATTCGGGTGTCTCAATTTTTTTCCAGCCAAAATCAAGTACCACAAACAATCATCGCTTGATTTTTTTCTTCAAACTTGATTTTTTTCTTCAAATTTTAATTTATATTTCAATAACTTATACACGTTTTTTCGTCAAATACTTGTTTATTTCATCGATCTCGAAATGATCTACTAATACGACTGCTTACCTTGTTGATCTTCTCCTGAGAAGTGCTTGGATCTTCAAGTGCAGTGAGCATGTCCTCTATCAGCTGCGAGGTGGTGTGCTGTTGGTCGTTGATCTCACTCACTCTGGCGTTGATCCTCCTTGCCAGCTCCTGCACTCCACTGTCTCTACTCTCCAACCTCAGAAGAGTCTTCACGTCTCCAAACGCATCTTTCCACATCTCCAGCTGCTCATAGGCCTTAAACAACTTACTTCGTTCAGCAAAATTGTTCAAAACTGAATCGCGCGCCCATATTCATCATTTTTATTCCAGACCTCCAAATCTTTCGGGCAAAAATTTACGATCTGCTATTAACAAGAAAATACTCAGATGAGAAAACAAATTATTGCAGCCTTGTATGATATTACTCTATAAAATCTCCCCTCCCATAACTCCTACTATTGTTTTATTAACCATAATAGTGTTTATGGCGGAAATAATTAAGAAAACAAATGACGAGCTGAATGAACAATCTAAAACCGTACAACATGTAAGTTCAATCTCAATTTTTTCATTAGAAATATGAAATTAAAACGTTTTTTTTTTGCGCATATCTCAATTCGATTATTTTTTAAATTTTCTGGTGTCAACGAAAAAGAGTTTTTATCTTGAATTATGGAAGGTTTTTTGATATTGCTAGTAATTGTCATCATAGATTTCAAAAAGCGCAATTATCTTAATCCTCGCCCCAATGAAGCTTACTTGACAGCGTCTGAAGAGTGCCTTTGCGTCATTCGGATCAATGTCCAGAGCCTTAGTTGCAAACTCAACCGCTCTAGTCCAATCTTTCAACTTCAGTCCACATGCCGAACTGTTCTTCAGACACGACAACCGGAGATCATTCAACTGCTTTGCCTCATTTTCCGACAAGTCTTTCAGTGAGTTCAGCTGCGCTAAGCACTCGGCATAAGTATCGATAGCTGTTGAATAATTTGAACACTTGAACTGCTCGTTGCCCGATTCTTTCAATTTTTCGGCAGCTTCAAGAAACGCGGCAATAGATTTTTGATGGTCCATTGGTGAAGAATTATCGCCGCTTTCCGGCATTGAATTACTAGTAGTCATTGACTTGCGCAACTTGGCCAAGAATGGGTGTTTATTGGTAAACGATCTATAGAATATATTTGCAGAGGAGAGGGACTGCACAGTTTGTGAGCGCACTCAGAAATGGGACTGTGTTTAAGGAAATGTCTTATTTCCAAGCAGTCTGGGTCTATACTGCACACGCGCAACGCACATAGTGTTGATTCATAGTTTGGAATTAAGGTTTTCCATGGCTAAGAAACTAAGCTGAGACGCCTTCGATGTTCATGCAATAACCAGCACAACACAAAGTGAAACTTCTGAAACAAGTGCAACATATCGTTATCCAAATTTTTCCTAAGCAATTCTTGGTATTAATCAGGTCAATTTTAAGACCAAACCAAAAAACTCGAAACAGGACTGGTACAAATATCTGATTTGCGACCAGTAACCTATACTTCATGACACTTATACACAGCTGCCTTGTCTTGGCTGGACATGACCTTGCTATCTATCCTTCCAAAATAGAGCAAATGGCACAATCCAGCACAAAAAATTGTAGTTTTGTTTAATTGAATGAAATGAAAACAAAATAGCTTAAGATTTCAAATGAAAATATTTAAGAATTCAGTGTCAAAAATGAATTTATATTTTTTAAATTATCTCATGATCCCAAGTTTCAAAATTACAGCGACAACAAACTAAACCTCAGTTTGAAGCACAGAGGCGAATCAGAGCCTTGCACCACTTCCGATAGAAAATGATTGACTCTCATTACTTGCAGATGAACCAACAAATCGAACAAAAACTTCAAACAACTTTTTTTTAAGTTTGCGTTAATATCCAAAACCTTGGAATTGAAACAAGTGCAATTTTAAAAATTTTACAAAGAGAGGCGATGCATTGCACTACATGCAATAAAACCCATACACAGCAGGACAAACTGAGCGACAAAAATTTTCTTCCGAAAATCTTCCTTAATTGGTCTTGATTGTCTCAAAGAAAACTCTTCTCAACAAATATGGCGAAGTAGGAAAATTGAATTTCAATATGCATCGAAACAAAACTTATAATGCGACAGCAAAGCCGACAATTCTTGGGCAGACACACGTTGCGCCGGAAAAAAATGCTTTCATTGGAAAGACTTATTATCTCAAAAAGTGTTTGAACCCCCCTTAAAACATTTAGATAAAAAAATTGTTTACTTCTCAAACCTCTAAAAAAGCCTCCAAGCCGATATATTTATCAGCCGAAAATTTTTGAGCCGAGTAGAAAAAACAAAAAACCGTTGACAAAAACTGATATACTAAAATCGCAGTTGGTAAATTTGCTATCAACATTTTAAAAAACTGGAATAGAACGGGCAGAGCATAGAACCGAGAAAAGAAAAACGAAAACAAAACTGATATACTGAAATCACAGTTGGAAAATTTGCAATCAACATTTTTTAAAATTGGAATAGAACGGGCATTTAAAATGCGGACATTCTCGTAAATTTTATGTTCTCCATCTTCCTGTTCCTTGACAAAAGCAGAGGTGAACAAAACTTCAGTCATCCTGTGAACAAAGTTTACGGTAAAAAAGTTTAGTAACGGATTGCAATACCCTTGCTTATCGAAAAGGAAATATATGAATGGGCTGGTTGGCCATTCAAACGCTGTAGAAAGAAAACTATACCAAGAATAGCCGGTTGCTGTGCAAATAGCACAGAATTTTCCGACACTACTTTAAAAAGACTGTATCAGAAGTTTTTCTTTTTAAAAGTAGTGTCACTTTTGTGCGTGGTGTGAGAAAAGAATCTAAATGAAAACCTAGAACTAAGGCATATTAGACAGTCATAGTAAAATAGGAAATCTGACAATAGTTTTTGTCGAAAATGACTAGAAAAACAAAACAAAAAAAATCAATTAATTTTAGTTAAGTTTTTCAATCCCAAGATGACGCAAAAAAAGTAACTGAAAATGGGACTATAGTAAACTAATTTTTCAAGGGTTATTCCTTCTATAAAAGTTTTGGGCGTAGTTGCTTCTGGAGGGGAGCTTTTCGAATCCTTTCTATTCATTAAAACCAAAACTTCAGGATTGGTGGGTTATGTTTTGAGAAAACGAAAAAACAAAAAATATCGGTAAATTATTCCCCTTAGAGTTTTTCGAAGGGTGTAGGCAAAGCGGTAAATCAAAAAGAGACCAGGAGAGTATGCACGCACACAAAAGTGCAGGCGGTCTTCCTATGGATAAAAATTTTTTGAAAATTGTTATGAAAGTTTTTTGAAAAAAAGTTTTCTTTTTGCAAAAACGTTAAGACTTTCTTAAGCATGTCAAACCAAAATAAAAACATACTTGTCTTTATCAAAAATGAATACTTGACAAACGTGCCAAGCAAGAAATTTGACATTCAACATGGCAACTGAACAAAACTTCCGAAGCGGAAATGAGGCCGAATCTTTAGTAAAAGAAACGTTGGGTTGATTGATAGATCCCTTTGTTTCAATTAGTTACTAACATTATAAGTCTCGGTTAAATTACATCATAGATCATAGTCGAGATGGTCCAAGAATTTAAATGATATTTATATAAACAGATAAACTAAAAGGAATGATTAAATAGAAAAGATTAAATTTTATGCACAACTGTTCATCTATTGTTAACTTTTACCAATAGGAGTGGATTTTTATTTTATTAAGTTATTACTTTTCTGTCTTACAATATTTTACTGGGAGGTAGTGGAGAGAACGTGAGGAGAAGTTGCTGTCCGCCGAGAAAAATGTACAATGTCCAGTTTGCCAGCTGTCCGTTGAGGAATTGTCCGACACTCGGGTGGTTGCTCTTCGTGTTCATTTTGGATTGTTTTATTTAACTTAATAAAAAGTTTTAATTAAAATTTTTAAGAGCTGAGTGACTCTACTAGGGATAAAAATTACTTAAAAAATAGCGTTTTAATTTTTTAAAGAAAGAAATAAGAGAAGAATGAGAATATTTCAGCCGTCTGCTTGGGCATAAGAGATTAGAGTCACTGAAAAACGCAGTCAGGCTCATCCGAAATAATTTTAGTTTGGTTTTCCCTGCATCTGCTATTAGAATTCAAACTTCTTTTAACCTCTTATTCTCTGTTCGATCAGGAGACAGACATTTTCATTTTATTAATTTTTTATATTAAAAAATCAATATTTAGTTTAACTGGGGAACTCATAAAATTTCCACTTGCTTTAGTTACTTTAAAATTTAAAGCTGTGAGGGATTTATCTGTTTTCAAAGCCAAAACAATAGGCAAACTCCGCCTGACTGGCGTCGTGGATAAATACTCAGTTCCCTCGACCATCTCTTAAGCTTTACCAAAAACCGTTGCCTTTTTCCAAGGTTAAAAAAACTGAAAGGATAAAAAAATCCGTTCAGAAATCGAAAAGTTAGCTATTTGGATTTGGTTTTCAAAGTTAAGTTGTTCAAATGTTAAGTTAAAAAAGCATTCTTATCTTAGGGTGTGAACAAATTTAAAATAGAAAAGAATCCACTCGGATCTTATGTAAAAAAACTAAAACAATAACCTCATTTATTAGTGTAGCATTTCCAATACTACAAAGCAGACACCAGTTGAGCCAAAAAAAATCTGATTTCGTAAGAAAAACAAAACATTCATAAGTTTCAAGTCCACCTGAAACTATCCTGTAGTAACTAGTACCCACCCAGTAGCTAAATTTAAAGTTTCGTGAAATTGAGCATGTCATGCAGCTGACGTACTCAATTTCTTGAAAATTCAAGTTTGGTTCAACTGATTTTGTTACACTAGTTGTTAACCCGAAACAAAGTCTACATTCCGATTTGATAACGCTTGCTGATTACCTTGAATTGATTTAAATGCAGGGACTCAAAAGGGACTTCTAATGAGTGACTAAAATGTAAAATCATAGCCAATAGAGAGTTGTCGAAGTTTTTCAGGAGACTCAAAACAGACGGAAAAAAATGATAACACATTTTGGCTTATTTTTTTAACTTTCGAAACTCAGAAAAAAATATACCTCTTTGAAGCTCTTTCAAATTCAATTTTCTATCTTTTTCACAAAATGGCTCAGCTCAATTAAGGACTCTAAATGAGTAGATTTGAGTAATATATTCAACTGATTATTTTTGCATTCAATTAAAAATTAAAACCCACTTTTGAAAATTAAAGTTAATCACGTTAACTTTTCGCGCCATTTGTAGATCGTAATTTGGAGAGAGCTTAACTTGACTTTCTTTTATCCTTATGAAATTAAAGCGAACTTGAACAAACCAAAGTCAAACCGCGACAAATGAAATTGGATCGTGAACAGAAAAAAAAACGGAAAACAAAACACGACCTAAATTGCTGTCTTCGATACGTTCTATCATTACTTCTACCATTTACACTCAGAAAGAAACTTTCGGGGCTTTTTTTACTTTTCCACCAAAATCAAGAAAACTATTTGGTCTTCATAAATAACCTTGTAAAACCCCTCATTACAACTAAGGGGAAAAAATAAACTTTTGGGAATCCGCATCACGAGTGAAAGTGCTTAATATAAATCCAAACTCGATACACTAGTAGTTTTATATGTGGCTGATTCTGAGCGGAAAGCAAAACAACACATAGGAATGCTCGACCATAGGAATGACAACTCCATTCTATAAGATAGCCTCAGTCTTCAATAAATGGCAACCGATTCGACTGAAGTTCAGTCCAGAAGAGTCGACTTTAATGTTGAAATAATATGCATTTGAACTCTGAACAGTCAAGTCTTCATTTCATCTAACTGATAAAATATACTAATCCTTCCACTGGATGTACTTCCAATTACCTTTCAAGAAGGGAGGGCAATTGTTAAGTATGTTAAGTTAGTCGAAATTTTGACCAGAATGCAGCTAAGTTCGAATATTACATTGAACGTTCTAGTGCTAATTTACTGCTTTTACTTAAAGGGGTGTCAAATTTTTAGTAGATACCATTGGGAGGGCGTTTGTTAAGTAGGTCTTATTCAAAGAACATTTAGTCATCCTAATTAACCTCCAAACCTTATAACTCGCTCTGAGGGTAACAAGTAGGTTTCTCGATCAGAACATATGTAGAAAAATCTTTTTTTTTTGTCAAACGTTGAGGTGTTGGCTTTTGAAAGAGGCTTCGCTTAATGATGAAAGTAACAACCGACGACGTATTTCTGCCATTACATCTACGATCGCTTGAGGTGAATTTTTATTTCTGCGTTCTCATGCAAGCTACGGATGATTCACGCCTTCTGCAGATGCAAAATGGCACTATATCTTCTATTTGCTCAAACAAGGCCGCTTTCACTGCTAAAATGATACAGTATTCTTCAATGACAAGAAAAAGATCCAATCGCATTGCAACAACTGGTGAAAGAATTACCAATTATTCTAGAATGTTCTTAGCTATTTCAGCATGCAAAAAACAGCCAATCAGATCTCTACAGTTGGAGCTACAATTTTACTACGCGTGAGAAATTTTCTTACGATAGACTTCAATTTATTCACATATGACACTCGATTAGAGAAGAAGTCACACATCAGTTGAACAAAAAGGAATTTCTTCAACCTTCTTTTCCCGGTTTGATTGTAATTTTCAAAATGAAGAGCCTGATTCTATTGGCGACCTTAATGGGCATCGCATTCAGCGAAGTTTTCTTCAAAGAGGAATTTGCTGGTAAGTTCAAATTTTTGCATTTAAATTAAGAAATTCTTTGAATGCAATTAATGAACTAAAACCTCCCAAATGTGCAGATAAAACGGAAGTTCCAATTTCGAATACTTTATTATCTATCAATGAGTTCTGTGAATAAGTTGTATTTTGCTTGCTTTTGCAGATGAATCTTACAAAAGCAGATGGATTGAATCCAAGCACAAATCAGACTACGGAGAGTGGAAATACACAGCCGGAAAATTCTACGGAGATGCAGAGAAAGACAAAGGTAAGACGAGACTTTGATATTCTTATTGCAAAAACAACACCAAACGCACTTGAAAAAAAAACTTACACCGAAAAAACCAGAGCCACATGCCCTGAAAAAAAGGTTTCCAGATTATTCAATTTTCTCAATTAATTTGTTTTAGGAATCCAAACTGGCCAGGATGCTCGATTTTACGGGATCTCTGCCAAGCTTGAGAAGCCCTTCTCCAACGAGAACAAGGATTTGGTGATCCAGTTCCAGATCAAACATGAGCAGAAGATCGACTGCGGAGGCGGATATCTTAAGGTCTACCCTGCCGACGTCAACCAGGAGGACTTGCACGGAGACACTCCTTACTACATCATGTTTGGCCCAGATATTTGTGGATACTCAACAAAGAAAGTGCATGTTATCTTCAACTACAAGGGAAAGAACTTGTTGACCAAAAAGACCATCAGCTGCAAAGATGACGAGCTCTCTCATGTCTACACCTTGGTTGTGAAATCAGATAACACCTACGAGGTTTACATTGACTTGGAGAAGAAGGAAAGCGGAAAGTTGGAAGATGACTGGGACTTCCTCCCTCCTAAGAAGATCAAGGATCCCGCCGCATCCAAGCCCGAAGACTGGGATGACAAGGAAAAGATTGACGACCCTGAGGATAGCAAACCCGAGGACTGGGACAAACCTCAGCACATCCCTGACCCAGATGCCAAGAAGCCCGAAGACTGGGACGATGATATTGATGGCGAATGGGAACCCCCGATGGTGGACAACCCCGATTACAAGGGAGAGTGGAAACCCAAGCAGATTGATAACCCCAACTACAAGGGCAAATGGATCCACCCTGAGATCGACAACCCCGAGTATACTCCCGATGACAAACTGTACCTGTACAAGGACATTGGAGCCGTGGGTGTCGACGTCTGGCAGGTGAAGTCAGGATCCATTTTTGATAACTTCTTCATCGGAGACGACTTCGAGGAGGCCAAGAAGTTCGCTGAAGAGACATGGAAAGTGTCCAAGGATGGCGAGAAGAAAATGAAAGACGCACATGATGAAGAGGAAAAGAAAAAACAAGAAGAACTGGATAAACTGAAGGCCGAAGAGGAAGAGGACAACGAAGATGAAGAAGAGGAGGAAGAGGAAGCCGTCAAAGACGAGCTGTAAACTGATTGCTACAAACTGTTGATCTACGTTATGGCTGAGGTTTTGTTTTCGTAAGTTGCCAGTAACTGGTAACATTGAAACTGATTTAGCAATAAATATCACAGACATCTTGCAACATAAGTTAACTTGGCGCTTTATTACAATACAACTGTGTTGGTTGAGATATATTAGATTGTAATATCATTTTCGTTTAATTATTCGATCAATATTCCTTACAAATTTGCTTTTGAGTCTGATTTCTTGTAAATGTTAATGTTAACTTTGTTGTTATATATATCATTTTCAATTGAAAATTGACATATATTTTTTCAATGAAAATTTTGATGAATCGAAGTGAAATTATACAAAAAGAATGTGGTCGTTGGTAGAACCTTTTAGTAACTGAATTAAAGCATAATACTCATACTTGATGTTAGCATAGATCATAATGATCAGTTCCCAGGTTTAAAATGGTATTTGTACACATGCGAAGCTGAGCGTCGCACCAGTTGCGATACAAATATGCGATACAATGACTAAGATCAAAATCAAAAGGAAAATGAAACAAAGTCAAACAATCGTTGTTCTCAAAAACAGAACTACAACAAAAGCCATTTCTGCTTTGTCGTCTCAAGAATGGGGGTTACAGACAGCATCTTTGGAGGCACTTAGCACAGTGGTAAGGCGTTCCCTTTGAAATCGTCAGATCGTGCATTCGATCCCATGCCATGGCAATGATAGTGTGTGAGGACAAGCTCTCACTTGACCTCCAGCTTCAGGTCTACCACAACCTGACCAAATTTGGCTGCAAAAGTGGTACCACGTAAAAGTTCTAGACGCAAAAAAACGGCCTTGAGTCGCAAAAAAAATACCACTGTAGCAAAATAACACTGTCTGGAATGTGAGAAAATACAAATGGACTATCCTCGACAGGACTGTTAAGGCCTACTGATAGCTCCTCTACAATTATTAATTAATTATCTTGGAATAATGCTGAACCGTCAAAAAAGAGTCGGACTAAGAGAACTAAGCCGACAAAAATAAACAGACAGACAATATCCCGAAAAAACTTATTGGATACCTCAAACCAGATAGGCCGTATGGTTTATTGAATTTGAATCTACAGTGCTGATTTAAATTATCCGGACAAAACGAACATAACTTGAATTTTCAAACGCGTTTTTCTCAAATTGAGTTAACATTAGACAAAAAGTGAAGAGAACAAAAGTTGCTTAGAATTTCACCAGAATTAATATGGTGCCATTTTTTCTCCGAAATTCTCAACCAAAATTTTACCCCAAAAATGGGTCATTTTGGCTTTTTTCAAATAATCAAGAATTACGCTGAAACTACTTTGTTAATTGATACAAAAATTATATCACCTCTTACGCAGCTCAACAAAGTTTAAGAAGGGTTAAATCTCCAAAAATTTGCGCAAATTGTTTAAAATTTATTTTTTAACAGAGATTCTGGGTTTTATATAGTAAAAATCACATTTATTGATTATCAAGTGAAATTTTTTTCTCTTATACTGGTTTTTGGAGATTTAACCCTTCTTAAACTTTGTTTAGCTGCGTAAGAGGCTTCCTGTGATATAATTTTTGTATCAATTAACAAAGTAGTTTCAGCGTAATTCTTGATTATTTGAAAAAAGCCAAAATGACCCATTTTTGGGGTAAAATTTTGGTTGAGAATTTCGGAGAAAAAATGGCACCATATTAATTCTGGTGAAATTCTAAGCAACTTTTGTTCTCTTCACTTTTTGTCTAATCTTAACCCAATTTGAGAAAAACGCGTTTGAAAATTCAAGTTATGTTCGTTTTGTCCGGATAATTTAAATCAGCACTGTATACTTACCTATATGTAACAAACATACTGTATTAACCAAATGGTACCTGCGCAGGAAAGTTTCATACCGAAAAACTCTAAACGAATTTAAAATATTTGTGCCCCTTTTCCCCTCAGAAATTAAGCACTTGCTCAAACTACTTTCGATGGCAAAAAGAAAAATCAGAGGGAAGCCCCAATTCCAAAACTTTTGAACTTAGCGGTAGGTCAGGGACCTTACTTTTTCAAAATGTTAATATACCATCAGAATTATAGATTTGTTGAGTCAGGAGCACTAGGTTTGATAAATTATTCTACAATATATTCTTAGTGATATGAAAACTTAGCAAGAAACTGACAGAATCTCACATTATCAATTTAGTAAAATTGGTACAAAACAAGATTTTCAGATATGAAACCAGGTCGTTTTTTTTCATAACTTTCATTTTAACTGATAGCACTCAAATTGCAATCCTATAACGATAGACCAGGTCTCAGCATTAGGTCTAACTACAGTTGTGGTCCAAACTCACTAAAATTAAAAAAATCTATTTGTATTAAATTATTGCAAGATTTGATCGCACTTAGAATACAGTGCTGATTTAAATTATCCGGACAAAACGCATTTAACGTGGCATTTGAATCGTGTTTTTCTCAAATTGAGTTAAGTTAAGGCGAAAAATGATGAAGAAAAAACTTGCTTAGAACTTAAGCAGAATTAATATGGAACAATTTGATTTGCAAAACTCGGGCCCAAAACTTTACCCCAAAACGGATCCAATTTAATTAACAAAAATCATACTGAAACTACCACGTCAATTACTGACAAAGATATATCAAAGTGAGCCTCTTACGTAGCCAAGGAAAGTTAAAAAAAAGTACAATCTCTAAAAATTAGTAAAAGTTGATTTATTCTTTGTTTGAGAGACAAAAAGTGCCATTTTTTTCAAACAAAACGGATCTATTTATTAATAACCCCCTCCCCTAAGGTACTGCTAAAAAAATAGATGTCAAATAAATAAAATCAGTAAATTAGCACTAGAGCGTTTTATTTAAGTCTCGAACTTTGCTGCGCTCTGATTGGTCAAAAATTCGTTAATTTAGTCTACTTAACAATCTCCCTCCCTTACTTGAAAATGGGAATTGTTAATTAGATCCAATAAAACACCCATTTTTGTTTTGAAACAATTTGTAAAATTGTTGCGCAATTTTTGGGAGATTATACCCTGCGCTACGTAAGGGCTCACCTTGAGAAAATTTTGTCAGCAGTTGACCAGGTAGTTTTGCCGTAATTTTTGATTAACTAGTAAAGCCTAAGTTTATCCGTTTTTGGGATAAAAATTTGGCCCAGAATTTCGCAAAATAAATTGCACTATATCAATTCTCCTAAAATTCTAAGCAAGTTTTAAAATCATCATCATTTCTCGTATAAACTCAACCCAATGTGAGAAAAAAGCATTTTATATTTCAAGTTTAATGAGTTAATATTTAAATCAGCACTGTAAGAAAACTTCGTCAGGACAAAAAAATCATTGTCTTATCCTTCATGAAAAACAAGTTCATGTTCAGAGATTAGTTCTTTTTTTCGGAAATTAGAGTGGAAAAAAATTAACGGGACAACATGGCCCCTTCTTATTTGCAAGCTGCACTATGAGTTATGAATCAATTAAGGAGACACCTGAAAAACCTGAGAGACACAATTAAGGAGACACCAATCAAAACTAAATAAAAAGTTTCATTTCCTTATCACGCCTTTGTTAAAGTTTAGGAGAAAAAACATACTTGTCAGCAGGGGCGGACCTGAAATTTTCTCGAGGGGGGGGGGGGGGGGGTGGGTGCGGATTTTGACGACCTTTTTTTTAGGTCGATCAGATTGATTTTCCGAGCTCTCCCAAAGCAGTAAAAAGATTTACGCAGGCAATTTTTTGAAAAAACAGGTCAAAAAAGCCGTTTTTGGGCACTTTTTGGAAAATTTTGACAAAAAAAACGCGTTTTATTGGCGCGCGCTCCTTCTCAAAATTAGTATACATTGGCGCCGAAGGCGCCTTTAGAAAAAATTTAGGGTCGGTCGGCCAAAAATGGATTTCTTAAAAAGTTCCAGGGGGGGGACCCTTTGGGTTGGCAGGGGTTCGAATCCCTGAGGGAGGGGGGCGTCCGCCCCCCCCCCCTAAATCCGCCCCTGCTTGTCAGGGTAAAAGACTTTTGGATCTTTCCAAGTTTCAAAACGCACAAACCTTGATTCACCTTAAAGAGACCAAAAGGTTCGGAATTTATTAAATTTCCTCTTTTAATATGTTACTGTGAAGAACTACATAGGTCTCGTTTATATGCCTACTTTGTTGTTGTGTAAGTAGCACAGAAATTTCCGACCATAGCTATCACTGCAAAAATTTTCAAAACAAAATTGTTTTAACCTTTTTTCCGCCAGTGGTTGAATGGTCCTGACTGGACTTGAGAGGCGCTAATTTCAATTCCAAAAACTATTTTTATTGCTTTCTTTTTCATTTTCAATTGGAGAATTGAGAAGGCTGTAATAAGGAAGCTAGTTATTAGATGCCTAATTAACATTTAAAAAATGTCATTTTTTTACTGCCATGAAGAAAATTCATAGCGCAGTGTAAATTATCTAAGGACTACATTGGTTCGGAAGGTGAAAATAATCAGATCGCATTTTCTCGACACTACGTTTTCTTCTAACTTTGAAATATTGATAAAATCACGATTTGAAGCGCTTCATTGCGAGTTATAAGAAAACAGCGGAAAATGTTGTTCCTTCCCACTGTCAGTGGTCGGAACAAAACAAAAAAGAAACTTTCGTTTGCAACTCTTACACAAAATACAGCCGTATATTCATTCATCGACGCCTATTGCGCACAAACAAAAGCAAATTACTCCATAAATAAATTTGCTCTTTTTTGGTTTTGTTCAATGATATGAAATAATCACAGAGTAGAAACTGAAGAAACTATCGTACAATTGTTAGTTTCAAAAATAAAAAGCTCCAAACCAGGGGCGGATCTAAGATTTTCTTGAGGAGGGGGAGCGGGGGTGCGGATTTTCGAAGAAAATTCAAAAAAATTTTGTCTACCTTTTTTAGGTCGTCCAAATTCATTTTCCAAGCGCTCCCAGAACACTATAAAAAACCTGTTTTCAGGGGGGCGGATCTAGGATTTTCTCGAGGGGGGCGGATTTTCAAAAAAAAAATCGAATTTTGACGACCTTTTTTTTTTTAGGTCGACCAAATTGATTTTTTGACCTCTCCCAAAGCACTGTTTTGCCCCTATTTTGGCAAAATTTTCTGCGCCGCAGGGAAATTTTTGAAACAAAAAAAAACAGTCAAAAAAGGCGTTTTTAGGCACTTTTTGGAAAATTTTGACCAAAAAATTGCGTTTTATCTGCGCGCGCTTCCCATTCAAAATTAGTATGGGAATATTGGCGCCGAATTTTAGGGTCGGTCGGCCAAAAGTAGATTTCTTAAAAAATGCCAAAGGGGGGACCCTTTGGGTCGGCAGGGTGTCGAAAACCAACGAGGGACCCTTTTGGTTGGTGAGGGGTCGAAATCCTGAGGTGGGGGGGGGGTCATCCTTCTCTAAATCCACCCCTGCTCCAAATATTCTTGAAGTTCAATCTCCATTTTTTTTCGCACCGAGCTCTTCTCCACCCAATTTCAATACCAGAAGAAGTTTTTTCGTTGCAATTATCCTTATGCAAATAGTTTACTTCTTTTTTTCAGTCACAACTTTTTAGTTAAGCTCTCATTTGCAAGTCAACATTTCGACCACTTATGGTTATTGTTGTGTTATCAGCAAAGAGCTGATTCGTACTTCACTAAATGTTTAGAAAAATCATTGAGGTAAGCTATAAAAAGAAAAGGACCCAGTTCCCCTCCCTGTGGAACACTTATTGAAAGTTATCTGACCGGTTGACCACATATCAGAACCGGTTGGTTAAACAGCGTTCACAAAACTCATATCTTTCCACGGAAAACAAACATTTCAAAATCTTGAAGAATATAATGGTCTATTGTCTCAAAAATTTTTCAAATATAAACGTAAGCAAAGCTGGTTTAGATTGCACTACGAAATGATTCATTTTTTTCAGAAATGGCATTGACGTATGAGTGTTTACGCCATATCCTTAAATCTTTCAAGAATTAATTTCAAAAACCTGCAAGATAAAGATTACCACCAAGTCATGCAATGCGTTTTTTTTAATTTACTTGGGTACAAACCATTAACAATAAAAACATATCAGCAAAAAAACCAAGGATGTAACGCGTAAAAGTTAAGAATATGATTTTTTATGCCATCATGAAGACATTTCTTGTTCTAAGTTTTTAAATTAATTTTTGGATTTCTGGTGAACGGTTACGAGCAAAAACCATGATTTTTGTGTACGAATCAATGAACGTTTTGATAAGATTCATAATTTACCCCGACGAGCTTTTTTATGAGATACATGAATAGTTGCCAAATTTTCAACAAACCAGAAAACTGGAAATATGATTGACGATTTTAAAAATATTTTCAACTTTTCATAAAAATAACCCAATGAGGAAACCGTGTCAAAAGGTTATTTTTTAACTTCCGCTCCACTTGATCTCTTGTTATTATAGAGTGTATTTTGACTCTCATATCTCAAATTAATTTGAATTGCACGTAAAAAAAAGTAATATAAAGCAAACCGCAAAAAAGAACTTTTTGAGCATGAGCTACTTTCAAGACTTTTTCCTGAACAAGAGAACATAGCCAACAGTTTGGAAAAGAGTCAATGAACGCAAGGAAACCGAAAACAAATAACTTGTGCCGAATTTGAAAATCAAAACACAGGGCCTCAAAACTCTAACAATACCAGGAACAATTTTGATTGACACTTTCTTGATACAATTAACCAAATTTGAGAAAACTGGATCAATACGTAAAGATTTTATTCCGCAGGGAAATCTGAACAATAAAATCCACTTTCGAATTTAGAAGTTGATCACGTTTTTTTTTACTTTTACACTTTTGCTGTTCGACAGTGCAGTTCCCCTTACTTTAATAAATGAACTTGAAAATAAATCAGAAAAGAAACCGCGAAAAGTCATATTTGCGCATGAGTAAAACTTAAGACGTTTCCTGAAAAAAGAAACATAACTCCGAGTATGCAATATAATTGCAAAAACGCACTGTAAGCTAGCAGACAGAAAAAGAGAACCATTATTTCCAACAAAAATTGAAGAAAAAATTGACAAGCTACAACAAAAAATGTCAAAATGTTGTCTGCGATGGATGATGTTCTATTTAAGAAAAACACGTCCAGAAACACAATCGAATGCGTTTATTGAATTTTCAAAAAAATTATCACGCTCCAACTAATCAGCCAAAACTTAAATGACCGTAATGACTGTAGTAACGAAAAAGAATGAAACAAGTACAGTCGGCTGCTGTGCAAGTAGCACAGAACGTTCCGACCATATTCTTGAAAAACTTTTTTTTTCAAAATTCTTTCATTTTTTTGCGCGTGCTGTGATGAAAGGAAATAAAAAACTCTAGATTGTAGACAATTTCATTTTTCATAACAAAATTGGCTGATTGGGAAGCAGTTTCTTCAAAAAATAACTAGTAAAAAGAACAATAAAAAAAAATTTTTTAATTATGTTTGCAGAAGTTTCTTGGAATTTTCCAAGTTTTATTTTGGCAAGATGGCACTAAGAAACTTAACATTTTTTTAAACTTAAACTTGAGAGTTTGAGTGAAAAATTCATGTCTTATTTATTACTAACCTGCGACTATCCTTCTATAATAAACCTCGCTTTATTCTCTCGAAATCAGACGAAAAATGAAGAATTTCCAACCGATTTGTCCCGACACAGGGAACATTTTTTTGGAAATTTTTAAATGTCGTTCTCAACAGCACTGAAAGGGCTTTGATGTGATATCTCACTCAACCTGGACCGATGATTATTTGAGTTATCTAATTTTGCGCGAAAAAAACTTAAGCACACCCGAATAAAAAGCCTCTCGATTTTCAAAGGTCGAAACAAAAATTGTTGAGATGATAAACTAGAATATCTATGAGTAGCTTAATTTTAACCTTTTGTGCAACCCAGAGGGGAGCATTAAATTATATTTGTCTTGATACGACACAAAAATGGGCTACTAAGTCGAAATAATTTAGACTGAATGAGGTTTTTCAGGAAAATGGAAAATGTACGAAGTCTAGGCAGGAAAAAGTAAAAAGTGAAGTTAGTAAATCAACACCATAAAGAACTAGAATGAAAATTTTAACATCACAAAAAAAAAACAATTCTAAGATATGGCAACTTAGCCGACAAAACAAGCAGAAAACTAATAGGCCGACATTTGTTTTTCAAATTGAATTCTTCCCGTTTAAAAAAGAGCCTAAGTCAACTTATTTACCCGAATAGCATTGATCACTTATAAATATTTAAAAGAAACAAAACTATTTGGAACTCCTTCCAAACTTAAGTCAGGCAGCCGTTGATTTCTTCCAAAAGCTTCAAGCCATCAAACTTAGACGGTTTCTTTTTTAAATTTGAATTAAGCCCGTCGAAACATATTCACCCGTCGAAAATTCAAGCTGATCTCGTGATTCTATACTTCTAAGCTCCTGTGAAATCTTAACTTGTGCTATAAACTAGGACTAACTCCGACTCAAACATACTTGATTGCGTAGTACAAAAAATTGTACTAGGTGATCAAGTGCTGAAATCTTTGCTGTTCATATTCCAACTCATTGAATTTTAATGATAGACTACCATAAATCCGAAAAAAAACAGTTGCTTCAACTGCAGTGTAAAAACTATAAAACCGGCACGTTTATGGAAGCAAAAATGATAAATCTCAACACTGAAAACTATTGTGCACATCTTGTCGAAAGCGCACCGGGGGACTACTAAGCTGGCACGAAATTGAAATATTTCAAGTAACAGATCATCCTCAGTTAAGATGCGTTTGTGTGGAATTGTATTAAGAGCGCAGCGAAGAATTTCGAAACCAGCATTGTTGGTCATTATCTGTCTACTATGTGCGCTTCACGTGTTTCCAAAATACTTCGAGAAACAAGGAAACAGAAGCTGGAAAAATCCCTGGAATCAAATACAAAAGCCACCTGGAAAAGTCCTTATTTTGTCTAGCTACCGTTCCGGTTCATCTTTAATGGGGGAACTAGTTGCTACGACTTCTACTCGGTAAGTAAAAACTTTAAAAAAACAAGTCTGATGAAATTTTTATTAGACCTACTGGATCCAAACTATATGTAAAAAGAATGAATTCAAAAACTGTGTTGCGCCTTGTTATTTTCTGTCGCTTTTTTCGCTTTGCTCTTGTGATACTGAATATGACGGAACTTATCTGGGTTTTTGATTCCAAAGGCTTTCATTCTCTGGTCGGTCAAATCCACACCAGAAATTGCAGGAGACTTCTTTTTCACTTTAACCATTTTTTTCACAATTTTAGTAGTTTTCATCTCGCGCGTCATCTTTTTCTTCCTGCGTTGCTTTTCAGCTGCAAACTTAATATCTGATAACAACAACGACATTCCATTTTTGAAATCTTCATCGGCAGTCGCAGCTGGAACTTCATTAGGATCTTTGTAAAGAGATGAAAAAATTTTGGCTTTTTTGAACTTATTATTTGCAAGTTTGCTAAATTTACGCTTGTCATAAGCCTCATCTCTGTTATCTCTGTATTGACTAGCTTTTTTTAAACTGACCCAATTGTTCAGTTCCCGATCAGGGGCGGCTAAGATCTCTTCATATGTCAAACCAAACGTGTCACTAGTGGTTTCACGATACTTGAATTTGAACTTGGGCTTTTCTGGAGCATTAATTGGCCTTGGATCGTTTTGGCCGATTTGAGAAACTTCTTCAACAACGTCATCCAAATCTATACTGTAATTCTTCTCTAAGTAATGCTCAAAAGTCTCTAATTCTGGGTTAAAAGCTGGTTTTTCAACAGCTGATTTCAAGGCTGATTCTATTTTGCTCGAAGTGCCATTTGTATTTGACATTTCCTCATAATTATCGGATTCCATGTCCGAAAATTGAGGTTTTTTCTTGTCATTTGTTGCATAATACTCATCATTGAACGCTTCCGCCATAAGTTTGTCATGTTTATCTGGGTCGAAGTCAGATTCCAAGTCTTCCTCGCCGACTGCGACGTTTTTAGTTCCCGCACTTTCTCTTATCTTTTCAATCTTGTCCAAGATCTCTTTCTTTTTCAGCTGCTTTAACCTTTTTAGATCCTCCTTGCGACGGTTCTCGAATTGATCACGTTTCTCTTTTACCTCGCGTCGCTTCTGACTGCGACTTGCTTGCCCGGATTGTCTAAGAGTTTCTGAAACATTTCTGGGAAACGATTTGATATCAGTGCCTCCTGGGACCTCGAACCTGAAGTTATAGTTAGCCTCGTGCTGCTCTTGATTTTCAACAAATTCAGTATCCGACTCAAAACTCTCCTCATCATCTACAACTTTTCTGTTGTCATTATCATGGTCATCGTTTTCATCCTGATTATTATCAGAGCCATCTGATTCATTTTCAGAGTCACAACTTTTGTCCAGAATAAAATTCAACAAATCTTTCTCCTTGTCCGAAAATATCTTAACCTTCTCAACATGATTTGAATGTTTGAAAACCCCTTTAGATTTATCTACAGGATCAGGTTTTGGCTTTTTTATAAGTAAGGAGGAACTGTCATCTTCAGAATCAGATTCAGCTTGAATAGCTTTGGTGATTTCTTCTTTCAACGCGCGTTGTTCATCATTGTAAAACAGAAGATTTTTCGATTCTCCATTAAACTTCGCCTTAGATGTTTCGTTTTCGCTTTCTTCGTTACTTTCATCTGAGCCATCTTCTCTTAGCAGCACTTCTCTTTCGTACTCGTCAAGCAGTAAAGGTTTCGATTCTTCATTTGCCTTCCGTTTCTTCTTGTTTTCTGAATTCCTCGGTGGTTCTCCGTCAAAATACTTAACATTTTTGTCATAAATGGAAGGGTCTTTCTGTCTTAAAGCAGTCATTACTTTGAGGAACTGCGAATCATCAATAGCATCAGGTCCGACCTCTTCTTCCGAACTAGAACTATCTTCATCGTCTTCGCCAAATCTGTCTTTCAGTGTTTGGTATTCCTCTTTCTCGCGGTATGATTCGTACTTCTTTGCAAACTTTGCGTTTATTTTAAACTCGCCATTTTGGTTAGAAGACGTGATAGAAAGTCCAGCGTCATTGTAGCATTCGTCATCGTCGAAAAGAGACGGCATAATACAATTCTGAAACAAATTCCATTCTTCTTTTGCCATAAGCCTGCAAAATGCAGTCAGCAGGGGCGGATCTAGGATTTTCTCAAGGAGGAGGAGGAGGAGGAGCGGGGGGGGCTAAAATTATGTAACGCAGATCATTATCCGGATGGAAGAAGAAACAAGAAGAGTGTACGGGATGACAGACGAGTGTAACGAGAACCGTCCAGGGGCTGTCCTCCTAGACATCACCAAGGCTTACCCTCGCACCAACAAACCCCTTCTGTGGGGTATGTTAGCCAGATTTGGCATGACGGACAAGGTGCTCGATCTGCTGAAAGGTCTCCATGAAGAAACGCGATACCGGGTGAAAGGAAAGGAAGGTCTCAGCGATGATTGGGCCCCAGCCAGAGGACTCAGAGAGGGGTGCGCAACATCACCTATCCTTTTCAACGTATATCATGCCGAAGCAATAAGAAGAGCGGAAAGAGAACGGAGAAAGGAGGCGGCGGAGAGAGGTCAAGAGTGCGGTCTCACCTGGAGGTGGACACCAGGAGGCAGCCTCCCACCGAGAGAAGGGCCCAGAGCATTGCATAGCAGCAACAAGTGTAATTTCATCCTGGAGGACTCGTTGTTCGCAGACGACACCTCTCTACTTGGTTGGACCGAAGAGCTCGTCATAGGGAAAGAGGTGATCAAGAAGAAAATGATGGAGTTTGAAGAGAAATGCCACGACGGCAAAGAAGAGTCCATCACTTTTGCAACTACCAGCGCCCAGAAGACTAGAATGCTGGGAACGCTCATCGGGAAACGAGAAGACCGAGGAGCCAGGATCAAGAGAGGGTACCACGCGTGGAGCAAGGTGAAACAATGGCTCTGGAATTCGAGCCTCTCCAAGCGCACCAGAGCATTGGTGGTCCAAGCCGTAGTGGAGTCCACTCTCCTGTTTGACTGTAGCGTTAGAGCATGGACACCGACCGACATCCAGAAGTTCCAGAGCGTTGCAGACAGAGCCTACAGGTTTGTGTGGAACAATGGAAAACCTCACACACTGATAAGGATGCAGAATGAAGGAGTCAACAGCTACGAGATCCGCAGACAGTTGAACATTGAATCGATAAGGACTAAGATCGAGTGCAGAGCATTAGAGCGAATGGGCCACGTTCTCAGAATGTCGGATGAGAGGATTGTGAAGAAAGCCGTGCTCGGATCCTGGAACATGGAGAGGACACGCAGTGGGAACTCGCGAGGCAACACCATCCAGTACTGGCGCAGACTGCTGAAAGAAGCGGGACATGAAGACGACAACAGCGAGAACCTCACCAACGACCGGAAACGATGGAAGAAGACCGTTACAGATCGCAGGACGTTCCTCAAAAACTGGGAGACGCAAATGTGCAACTGGCACAGAGGATCGGAAAAACCGGCCCGCTCACAATGGAATAGAGAGAGAATAAGTGACAGCGGTTGGCCTTGCCGCTGGGACGGATGCGACAAGATGTGCGCAACAAAAGGAGGACGGACGAATCACGAGAGAAAAGCACACAGAAGGGAGTCAGTGGACTTCAAGTGTCCAAAGTGCAACGACAGTTTTTCGGACCAGGCTGCTCTGACAAACCACTTCAAGGCGTGCCAAGGAGGGCAGGGTGGGTTCTGTCCGAAGTGTCAGAGGTCCCTGTCGTTGAGCAACATGGCAAGACACCGGAGGACCTGTCGAGGAGAACATCCGACAGCCCCAGAAGTAACCAACACCATTATCACAGGACGATTCGCCGGAACGAGAGCCAGAATCCAATGCGAAGAATGCGGTACTTGGGTGACAAAAACAACATTTCAAGACACTGGAGCACATGTCCTGGAAACTGGGAATCAAGGCCCCCCACGGGGCGTAAATGACAAAGAAGAAGAAGAAGGCTAAAATTATTATTTCTTTTCACCCAGAGACGACACTGCACTTCGCTCACAAGTTAAAAAAAACATGGCAAATAAAGCTTCAAACCCGACAAAAAGGAAAAATAAACAATTGCGATGCAGAATATTTTTGTTTAGAAATGACAATAATCAAGAAAATTATCGCAAATCGCAATTTTAATTTATCAGCAAAAACATTCGAAAGCATTATTAATGCTGCAAGTTCGGTGACTTTAACCAAAGCTCTTAATTTGCTTGCAGAATCGTAAGTTGGTCAGAAGACGATCGAGGTAGCCATTCATAGAACGACAGTGAAAAATGGATTTTTGTGTAAGAATTATTAAGAATAATTAGAGACGGTTTTGAGCAATTTCAACTATGTGAAATGAAAAAATCACAAATGAAAGTTCTTCATTTTTCAAATGGAACCTGACGAGTAGACTTTCATATCTTATGAAACTTATTAAATAGTTTCATATTGAAATGGATGATGAAACAAAACCAACGGGTGGAACTTCTCGGAGAAGGCTGGACTCAATCGAAAACTACTATCCTACCATCGAAGAAATCATGGCCTCATCTGACGACGAAATAAACAAGTATCTACACAAAACGAAGAAAGATTCAATTATTTGTATCTTCAAAGAATTGCTATCGCAACATCGACTGACCCTGTCTAAGAATGAAGAAATCGCCGACCTCAAGAATACAATTTTGGCAGTTGGCGATTCGCTTCAAAACCAGACTCCTACAAAATCTCAAGCTAAGTCTTTTGCTTCGATAGTAAAACAAGTTCAATCTAGTTCCACTAACTTTGAAAATGAAATTCGTATATCTGGTGTTCCTGAATTAACTTCAGCTACTCCAGAAAAACCGAAAAGAATTGACATTTTTGAACATGACGAGAGTAATCTAAACACTGTTTTGAATCATTTGGGTATACCTAATGACCATGTTGCCTCAACAGCGAGGCTAGGAAAGTTCAACCCAACTTCCACCAGGCCCAGAACTATGCTTGTCAGGTTTAGAGACAAGTTTACAGCTGAAAAAACGCTTGCACGAGCTTCAATGTTGAAAACATTCACTGGAACGTACAAAAACGAAAAATATTTTGCATATATCAGTAAATCTCTTTCGAAGGAAGAGCAGGAAAAGGAGAATGCAATCCTTCGTAAAAGACGCGATCTAATCAATGAAGGTGTTAAACCAGAAAATATAAAAATTAGGAACCTAGAGCTAATAGTAAACGGAGTGAAAACCGACTACCTGAAGACAAGCGCTTCAAAAGTCTGACCATCTGCCTCCAGACCCGAACCAATAGAACTAAGTTTGTTACTCTACAACATCAGAAGCTTGTTACAGTTGTCTCGACGGAAAACTTTTGCAAACTACATATCCATTCACTCCTATAGTATTATTTGCATTTGTGAAACATGGCTCACGTCGGACTTCAATGACACCGAACTCTTTTTGCCACAATACAACATTTTTCGCTCAGACCGGCCTCAGAAAGACTCGGGACTGTCATCTCATGGAGGCACCTTGGTGTGCATCAAAAAGTCTATCATATCTTATTCCATCCCTCTTCCCGATATTTTCCTTGGTTCATGTTGTGCTGTCATGTGTGTTTTCAAGTCAACCAAACTATTGGTTGTCTGTTGCTATTTTCCCCCACCTTCCAGTTCTTTCAGAATTAGTTCAGAATCAATCATATCCCTTTTAAACATCATTGAGACTACCGAATGTGACCATAAGATTGTTACCGGTGATATGAATTACTCAGCAATTGACTGGGAAATTTTACAATCAAATATCCCTTCTGACCATGAGTTTATTGAAACGATCAGTGAAATGAAATTACAACAGCAAGTTCAATTCAAAACTACTTCCAGTAACATTTTGGATATTATTTTTACCTCACCAAAAATTGAAACCACAGATATCCAATTGGTTAACAACGGCATTTTGAATATCTCGGATCACTTTCCAATACTCTTTGCATTCAATATGTCCGCAGCAGGAAATTTCATGCGTCCAAATATGAAAACTAGTCCCACTTTCAGTTTCTGCAATGGAAATTTTTCAATTCTGAACGAAAACATTCTAAAAAATGCCTTTCAGGGCATTTGTTGGTCCAATGTGACTGTTTTACTTGAACAATGGTATAAATGGGTGAATGAACACCTCGGTCAAGTCTTTCCTGTTAGAACAAAACACAGGATGTCACTCCCGCCGTGGATAACTCCGGAAACATCAAACATGATTAAGAGATTGAACACCGCGAAGAAAAAGTTCCCTAGTGAAAGCCCAAAATTGAAACTTATGTCCGAAAATTGCGACAAAGCAGTTGAAGATGACAAGTCACAGTATGAAACATTGTTATCCAATGGCAGATCTACATCAGCACTTTTCAAGTATTTTCGCTCATTTACTAAAGGAACCCTACCATCCGTGATGAAATATAACGACCATGAAGCAACAAATGACCAAGAAAAAGCAAATCTCTTTGCTGATTTCTTTCAAGATATGTACATTAGTTCCAGTGATATTCCAGTACTCAATGACAATGAACCAAGTATCTACCCTATCATAACCGATTTTGATCTATCAGATTCCAGAATCTCATCAGTCTGCGAAAAGTTAGACGTTACCAAATCTAGAGGAATTGATTCACTGCCTCCGATTTTATTCAGAAATTGCCCATCAATAAGACACTCTCTTTATCAGATTTTCTACAAAATGAAACAAACAGCAAAGTTTCCTGACCAGTGGAAAAGGTCTCATTTATCCCCTATTCACAAAAAAGGGAACAAGAGTTTGGTTAAAAATTATAGACCAGTGTCATTATTATCAGTTCCCTCAAAAATTTTTGAACGATGCCTTTTTGACTCACTATACGTGCACTATGAACCCTTTTTGCATCAGTCTCAGTATGGGTTCCGCAGAAAACGTTCATGTATTTTACAGCTAATCGAGTATATGGATATAATATATGAAGCCTTCGATAATGGCAAACAACTTGATGTTATATACACTGATTTCGAAAAGGCTTTTGACCGAGTAGACCATGGGTTGCTCATGAGAAAGCTTCACTTGACGGGAGTTCGTGGCAAACTATTGAGTTTAATATCATCTTACCTTTCATCAAGATATCAAATAGTGAAGGTTGGAGATAATGTTTCCTATGAATTTCCAGTTACGAGTGGTGTCCCGCAAGGCTCAATTCTAGGGCCTTTGTTGTTCTTAGTATTTATCAACGACCTTCCTTCATTGAGTAATTTTTCGACACCCTTACTAGCCGCTGATGACGCAAAGTTTATTTACACGCTTAGTGATACAGCTTCCTTATTTCAAAACGAGTTAGATACAATCTTTGAATGGTCGATCATCAACAACATGCCTTTCAATGTCACGAAATGCAACCACTTAACCTTTAATGCCAAATCTATGAATACATACTTCTTTGACGGAAATCCAATCCCCCGGAGTACTAGCCAAAAAGACCTCGGTTTAGTAATATCTGAGACAATGAACTGGCTTCCACACATTAAGCAAGCTGCGAATAAAGCCAACTCTGTACTTTACCTGATTAAACGAAACTCCGCAAGACTTCAAACCGTTACAAAATTGAACCTTTACAAAAGCATGGTTTTACCTATACTTATCTATGGTTCACCTGCGTTTTCTTTAAACAGAGGTGGAATGCGTTTATTTGAAAGCGTACAGAAACGTTTTTGCAAATGGGCTCTAGGTAACGAAGTTTCATACAAAGATTGCTTAATAAAGCTCAATATTTTACCTATTCCTTACTACCTACAGTTGGTCGATCTACTAACTTTAGCTAAGATTTTGAACGGAACATACAATTTTGACTGCGCCTCCAAATTTTTGAACACTTCCCCGTTATATTTCACCCGATCTGCTGGTGCTTCTCTGTTTCAGTGCGCGCGCCCGATGAAGGAAGTGGCAGAACAGAATTTTTGGTTCAGAGCAAGACGGCTGGCTAACCTATGTCCCATCAAGTTGAACGAATTTGGACTGAAGAACAAGCTCCTGACATGGATGTGGATTGTCTTTGTGAAAAGTTTCTCTGAAAGCAACTTATGCAGCTGGAAGACCTATTGCGACTGTACAACCTATAGACTTCTCGTAAACACCTGATCAACTGTCTCTGAACGGGGGCAACCCCTTGCGTTTATACGCTAAATTCCTTATAATAATAATAATATCAGACTTTACTTTTAACGTAAAAATTCAAGTCACTCTAAAAATAACACCGGAAACTAATTGAAACAAAGAAAGCAGGAAAAAAGGCGGAAAAATTTAGAGTCGACACACAAAATGTCAGCAATCTACCGAAAAAATATGCTCTTAATCAAGATTTGACTCCACTTACAAAGGCGAAGCGCAGAATAAAACAGAATTAAGCCTCAAATTAGTAAAACTTTGATACATATCGGATTCGAACGTGCGACCACGAGATTTGGAGCCTCACGCACTGCCCTCTCGACCACTTAAGCTTAACAATCTGTAAACACTACTCATAACTAAAACAGCTACATATGCTAAAAATGTCAATGAGATGCAGCAAAAGTGACAGCAAAAACAAATAGAGTAACTTTGCATGAAATATTTTGGAATATAACAAACTGAAGGCATCAAAACTAACTTTGCATATAACAAACTGGAAAACATACAGCCACGTTATGTATAATACGAGCATTTTAAAAAATGGCCAGGTATAATGATTTTTAAAAATTTCTGAAATCGAGTAATTATGATTGTTAAGTTGTTTGGCAAAAATAGCTTTTTTCGGTTCATTTGATGATTTGAAAATGCATCAACTGTGTTAACGTTAACTTATTACTAATTGAATGTCAAAGCAAATGCTATCAAAAAGCCATAAGTGAGCCACCAAAAATGACACCAAAATTTACGACTCAGCTTGAAAAAAAAGAATAGTTGTACTATTGCACTACGCTCACTAAAGTTCACAAACAGAATGAGTTTTTAAAATGCAGACCTTAACGTAAAAAACCAAGCCCAGTTTCTCATCATTTGCAACGAAACGTTAGCCCATTATTGCATGCTTCCGCTTCAGGGGGAAAATGAAACAGACATAAATAAAACAAACAGCTGTTTTTTTTTTTTGAAAATGAAAAATTAAATTCAATTATGTCAAACTACTGATCTGAGCTCCAAATACGTAGCATATCCTTTCTTGGACATGCTTTAAAAATTTCTAAAAAAACTATTAATCTTCTCAACGATAGTTGCTCCAGCTTTTGGAAGCATATCAAGCTCGACTGCAATATTATCATTCTTTTTTTAGCATTTATTTTTACGAACAAATTAAATAACCCGATGACAAAACTTAGGGAGGAGGGCAACATTTTATTTGAAAATATTTGTGCACTAAAAAAAATGTTTCGTATGCTCGCTCATGGAGGCACGATCCTCCGGTAAAATCTGACCTTTTATATTAAAACCTGACTGAACCCCTCCCACAACTTGTAAGTTTGACAAATCTGCTGCAACTCTGGTTCCATCAAAAACTCACTTAGTTTAGTAAGCATTTATCGAATGAAAATTAGTTAATTTAGGACGATGTACGAGTTCGAGCCGACTTACCAGGCATTCTCCTCCAAAGCACACTTAGACAGTGACTACCGATCCCAAAAGTGTTCAGATATCCTCAACCTCATTTTCAACTGCAGCGAACACTACTCTGAGGAGCAGTTCAACCAACTGCTACCACTTCGATTCTTCTCCCCCACTAGTTACCAAGTGATGAAGATATTCAACACAGACTGGGGCGACAGTTTTCACTGGGAAAAGAATCCGACTGACACGGAAGACGTGAAAGAATATGTAAAATTTATATGCAGGGAATCTTCGTTGAAGCTGGTCAAGACTATCAGATTACCAGTGTTGGATTTTTACACCATGTTCAACTTGCTGTACACATTGCTAGAGAAGTTCGATGACTTGGTAATCATAGGAGTTGTAAGAGATCCCAGGGACTCATTTGCATCAAGGTTTCTTTGATAAACCAACATGTTTTAATTAACCGTTGTGTAAATACTAAAGAGATATTTATTTCAGAAAAAAGTTTGGCGGTGGGCCTGGATTCGAAGAAACTCCAATGAGTTTGAATCAAATATGCAAAAACTATTCAAGCATCATCAATTTTGGTAAGTATAAGCCCTAAATAATATGAACTTTATTAATTTTAATAAGTTTTTGAACCTACGATTCAAGTAGAAAAAGCAAGTCTGCAAATACTGAAATATTCTAAGTTTGTGTGAAAAGGAACATAATTTTTAGTAAAAGCAATCAAGACAGGGCCACATACGTCCAGAGTATCCTTAGTGAAATATGAGGAATTCTACAATGATCCAATAAACCTGATTGCCAAAACATTCTCACAACTCTCGCTACCTGTGGGTGAAAAAACAATCAACTACATCAAACTGAATGTTATGAATGAAAAGGGCGGCGACTTGGAAAACACAGCCAAGCACGGTTTATTCACGAAGCCACGAGATAAGAACGCAACCATAGGGTACTGGAGGGCACTCAAAATAGACCCCGAAGTTTTAGAAGAATCGGCAGAATGCATAGCAGAATACGAAGAGGCAAAATCAACCGCTCATCAAACCTGAATTACGACAAAGAACTCATAAATGAATGTCAACATCGCCAAGGATTTTCACCAATCATGCTGATTATAATTCACTTCAGTTATTTACGCTTTTCTTAATTCATGTTACGGTGCTTCCGGTCAATAAATTAACATCAAGAAGAATTTTTTGTTTAAAAACCTGAGGATTCGCTACATTGCGCATTTGAGATGTAGTCACCCCGAGAGGGGATTTAGTAGACAATCTAGATCTTAATTTATAATGAAATTTTAAACTGCATTACACAAACTTCATGAGGACCAATCCAAACTTTCAGATATACCAGCAAAATTCACTGCATAAATTTGGAAAGCTAAAAATAATTACCGAAAATTAAACTTTTTTTGCCATTTTTTGAATAGCTGAAGAAACTCGATATTACGCACCCAGTATTCGCCGACAGTAACTTATATTAGTAAGGAAAACAGTTATTTGAAGGAGAAAAGTCAAAGCAGAAATTGCGCAATGTATGGAGAGCTCATGCGGTTGTAAAATACTTTTCGTAATCCGAATCGTGACCCACATGAGAATTTTTTCGAAGTTCATAAAACCGCGCGAGAAAACCCAGCCTACGCGATAGTTACTTCGACAGTGTCAGTAAAAATAATCACGCTATTATCAAACTTGAATCGAATGGTTTGAATAGAAAATGGGGAAAATAAATATAGAAGCGAAACATGAATTTAACACGATACCAGACTCGACCCCATTGAAGCTTTGATGGGATCCAACAGCGAAAGGGAAAAATCATCCCACGACATATTTCGTTCCAATTTTGGAGAGAGGTTGAAACAATTCTTAACAAGGATAACCAGTTACTGTGCAAGCAGCACAGATCAAGGACGCGTTTTATAAATAAGTTTCACGTGTTATACTCGAAAACGAAAAAGTTCCAATCACGACAAAAATGGCGCTCATATAATATATCACTCGACCCATTCCGATGATTATTCGTGGTACCTGATTTTACGTGGAAAACAATACAAAATAACTTGACTGAGCTGACAAAACAAGACTAAACTATTTTAACCAAAAAAAACTTGAGAAATAAAATATTAAACCTGATTTGGTACACTGCCAAACCAACAGGACGACCGTCAATTATGTCAAGCCACTGATCTGAGCTCCAAATATGAGGCTCAGTGGCACGTACTTCTGCGCAGACAACCCGTTGTCAAACATGCTTAAAATTATTTCTAATAAAAGGCTAATAATCTATTCTACGGTAGTTGCTCCAACTGCAAAACTATCATTTGTTTTTTACCATTAAAATTTTGCGGAAAAAATAAAGAACCCTAAGTTAAGGAGAAGGGAAACATTTTAATTGAAAATAATTCTGCAATGAAGAAGCTGGTTTCGTAGACTCGCTATAGAGACATGATCATCCGATAACATCTGACTTTCAAATTAATACCTGACTAGATCTCCTCCCACGCCTCGAAAATTGACACATCTGCCGCAAATTTTGTCTTTTAGCTAAAAGTTCTTTGACTGGTTCCACCAACTACTTAGTTTAGTTACAACTAACGGATGAAAACCTGATAAATTAGGACGATTTACCCCGCATTATCCTCCAAAGTACACTTAGACAGTGACTACGGATCCCAAAAGTGTTCAGATATCCTCAACCTCATTTTCAACTATAGCGAACACTTCTGAAGAGCAGTTCAACCAACTGCTACCACTACAATTCTTCTCCCCCACTTGTTGCCAAGAGATGAAGCTAACCAACACAGACTGAGGTGACAGTTTCCAGTGGGAAAAGAATCCGACAGACAAGGAAGACGTGAAAGATTATATGAAAATTGTATGCTCGGAATCTTCGTTGAAGCTGGTTAAGACTATCCTATTACCAGTGTTGGATTTTTACCCCTTATTCAACTTGTTGCACACATTGCTAAAGATGTGTCCGAGATGTACTAGAGATCTGACTAGAAAAACAAAATTATAATTTAAGAAACCAAGAAAAGACCTGCAAAAAATGCCTGAATGTCTTTTAGATTTTAAGTTTTTTTTATTCCGAAGTTAGCGCAACCAAAAAGTAAAAAACAATTTTTCTGAATCAAAATTAATTTTCAAGAGCTTGAATAAACGTTCCAAGGTTTAACCTTCGAAAAGCCTGCTCGCTCATTTTCAAATAGCCTGCTCTGCTCGCTTCAAAAACAAAATTCCAGCTTATCCTTGTACTGGAAAACTAAAATATTTGCTTTTTCAATATAAGTAACCCAAAACTGAGAACAGTATCAGAGAAATGCAAAAGTAATATTCCACTTGAAGATTTGATCACTTTTTGAATTTGATATTTTGAAATTAAATGTCTGTTTTTAAAGCTCAGTTTTTTAAAGAGTCATACACGTAGTGATTATTTATCTTCACTTTTATATGAGCCTTGGTGATTATTTGTTTGTTTTTTTTTTCATGAAAAAGTCTTCGATTTTTTAACGCTCAAACATGATTTTTCGCGGTTTGAGTTTTCATTTGTTTAAAGTTCAGCTGATTGTTGTTCAAAAAAGGCAAATTCCACTATCGGACAGCAAATGTTTAAAGGTCACGAAAGACGCGATCGACTTCTACTTTTGAAAGTCGAATTAAATTTACATCTTACCAGCGGAAAAAATACCTATTAATCCAGTTTTCTCAAATTGGGTTAATTTTATAAATAAGTTGTTAGAAGTGTCACGTTTATGAATATAATACAAATAACCTAATACAATCATTTGTCATGTCGGTCCTCTTATATTGGTATCCTGCTGGTTTTTTGAGCCTCGATTTCATGAGAAGCCACGAATCCCTTCTCACCGATGCCTCTATTGTTGCTATGATTACCAAGATTACAGAACGATTCTTACGGAATTTAAAACCCTGGCAGTAGTGTATCTCTAGATTGAACGGGATGCTTTCACACCATTCATCAGAAGAACTGCATTGATTACGGTTTTTGATTTACCATGGACGAGAACCCACTAACCCTAGACAGTCAGTTATTCCCGCAATTACAGCAGAACGCCAAGAAATCACTGACACGTCGATCAATTTTCTACAGAATTTTTAATACTATAAACGATTTTATCGACCAGTCGGAGATCAATAGTTTAGAGCCTACGGACACTTCAGCAATTAAAACATTTCTCGTCAAACTAACAGCTACCAAATATTGTTAAATTAACAGACACCTATATCATGTGCTCGTGGCAATTGAAATGTCGTTGCCCTTTGTGTGTTTCTTAATTCATCATATTTGATAAAATTAAACAATAATATATTCTGTTGCTTTCCTGTACATTATAATACCTACTCTTGATTTTAAAAAGTCCTAATGGGTGAATTGGTGTCTCTATCTTAATTTTTCTTTCATAAATTATTCTTGAAATTCAAAGAGCTTTAAGGCCATATAATTTTTTCTCTGAAAACGCAAGCCCCTAAGAACTCAATTTAGCAAAGGAATTACCGAAGTTATCTCAGTTAAAATAACACTCCGCAAACAAAGCATGAAATACAGAGGCGAAGTTGCACACCGCGTACAAAAGCAAAAACATGACCGATAACGCTACTAGGAAAAACTGAATGAGTAAAACTTTTGAGTCTACAAAATTTCTTGAGTGACGCACGCCGATAATGAGTCGTTATAATTACAAAGTGAAGCGAGCCAATTATGACGCATTAGCAGTACCAGTTAATTTGAAAAAAAAAATACCAACTAACATGCCTCAATTTATATAGCGGACACATTTTAACTAGTATACGACAAAAATCATTTAAAACATCGGACCCTGCCCAGGTTCTAACCCTCATATTTGGTTGCCGGTCTCGTTTCCTACCTCTATGCTAAAGATCCATGGTACCTTGGAGCTAAAGTTGTAATTGAAATATAATAGTCTGTGTTAATATCCTTAGCATTGGCTGTAGTTAATAGCTGGTTATTGATCAAAATGAACACTCTCAAAATGAATACACTTTGTCGCAACAATATTTGCGACTTAGGTTGGAAAAAAGAGAATTCATACTATCAAACAAGCTTTGCTTGTGTAAACATGAAATTAGCCTAGAAAAAACCTTTACACATAGGCGAAGCTGATCTTCGCACCACTTGTGATACAAAACAAGGAAACGGCTAAGTCGAAAACGTTGAAAAAATTAGATCTATCAAAATGAATTAGCCTAGTTTTGAAACAAAAACGTGCAAAGACTATAGAAGATAAAATTAGCATCGAAAAAAATTAATCAAGCGCTAACAAAGCCGAAAATACGTTAGCAGAAAAATTTAAGAACAATTCAAAAAAAAATATTTTGTCCCCCTCAGACTCAATACGCACAAACTTTATTCGGGTCAAATGAAACAATGTCATGCCACTAAGCTAATAGAGTATTGACCGAAAGTTAAGCTGAAAAACATTTTTTTAAAAAGCTGAAAAAATCAAAAAAAAATTAAGACTAGTAAAAAAAAGTTATTAAGACCCCTAACTCTCAAAGTATACACAAAAAACAACATCACATCGAACGGCGCAGAATGAGAGGCTATTATGCCGATGAAGTATAGGCCAAAACCAATTACGCCCAAAAAAATCGTTAAAAATTTCAAGACTAATAAAAAGTTATCACCTCCCCCTCAAAACACATGCACAAAAAAACTCGCTCGTCGAAAATATAAAGCGATATGAAGCTCCTAAGCCGATATATTACAAAGATATTCAGCCGATATATTTAGCTCAAAAAACAAAGATGCAAAAGACGCCATATTCAAACCCATTGATTCTAAAGGACACCAAGTCATGGCTTCTCGCCTTTAACTACTTTCAGGCAGTTCATTCTTGGATTCAGGCAATATAGAGCGGATTTTGGTAAGAGACTGCGCAGAGGTAAGCGTAAGCTACGCGCATCTATCCAACTGTTTTGCTGCGTCTATTGGACTTTTTACATCAAAGTTGAGGTGCAAACTTTCTTCGTTAATCAGAATTTAGCTTTCATTAAGAAACTGCACCAGGATTTATTAGTTACATGTCCTATTTGCATAACAGAAAGTAACCGATGCTTTAACACTACGCCGGCAAGCTCGCTTATGTTATGGCCTCTGGTAACAAAAAAAAATACATGAGTCCAATACAGCAAATGAACTTGAGAAAAAGAAATTTAAAAAACAAAAACGTTGCAAAAAAATCGTTCCATAACGTTGGAAAAAATCAAAGCAAAAGAACCCGTAACTGTGCAAGTAGGACAGAATAATATTGATACATTTTTTCGAGTTTCGGAAAACTATATATCATGCTAAAGCTGTTTGAAGTTTCTTCATTAAACTAACGCACTACGAAGAAACTGGTTCAATGAGTAAACGCTCAAATCCGCAGGGAATTCTGAAAACAGATCTATTGTCGAAATTAAAAATTACGGAAAATGGGGAGGAACTTTGTATTCGGTTGTTTTAGTTTTTTCTTTTTGTTTTCCACGCAAAACCAGGTACCACAAATAATCAACGGACTGGTTTGAAAGATATATCATATTAAAGCCCTTTCAGTCGTGATTCGAACAACATTTTCCAAAAAGTTTTCCAAGTGTTGAATCAGTGTTTAAATTTTTTTAGTTTTTCAGTCATTTATTTACAAAATTTTTTGTCCAATTTGCCCAATATTACTTTGACAGTCAGATATGCCTAACTTATACTTTTACGTCAGATTCTTTTATCACACCAAGCAGAAAAAAACTACACTAATTTGAAAAAAAAAACTTTCTAAACCGTAGTTTACTAAAGACTATGGTTGGAACATTCTGTGCAACTTGCACAGTAACCAACTATCCTTGTTTCTTTTAGGAATTGAAATGAACGTTGATTAAAATAAACTTGATGGCTTAACTAAACAATAACTCACTTGGTGTACTACCAGTGAAAACATAGCGGTATTGTTGACTTCGCTAATGCAAGCAGAAATAAACAGCAGAATAGAGCTCAAATGCGGCACCCAAAACAATTGTATACACAGAGGCGAAACTGAGCTTCGCATCAGTTGCGATACAACGCAAGCGCAGCATTGCAACCTAGCGAATAGAAATCGAGACGGAAACGAAAAAATTGAAAAAAAAACCAACAGTCTTAAATGAGCTTTTACTATTTACCGAGCGACACCTTAGCCGACAACAAGTAAGTAAAAGGCCAATAAATTGAAAAAAAAAATTAATTGTTTTAGAAATTAAGGTCATCGTAAATTAAATTGTAAAACTTTGAAATCTTGCAACAAAACTACCTGAAAACAAATCAACCAGTTTTTGCATTTGAAGCGGCACCAAATTAGGTAACTAATCCAATAAAAAACAAACCGAAACCTTTTAGGCCGAATGAAGCTTTTAAGCGAAAAAAGGTAGGAAAACCAAGGAAAACATACGAACTGGTATTAATTTTACTAAGTACAGGAGTAAACCAAATACACTTCAATTCCCGAAAAAAAAACGAGACAAAAATCAGCAAGACCTATATAAGAGCCTTCACTGCCTTCATTATTCTTAATCATGACAAGTTTTTCAAAATTTAAACGAGGTCAAGACTTTATTTACCCGATCCTTTTTTGCTCAGATATCACTGTCATGAAAAATATCAGGCATCAAAATAATCTATTAGCACTAATCATAATACCATTAAACAAACAAGCTGAATTATCGAATGAAAACTCAAATTTCATCAAACAAAAGATTTAAAAAACTAGAGAAGTTCGCTGACCTCGGCTAAAAACTGTTGGTATATTTCATCTTTACTAGCTGCCGGAGTAGGTGCAACTGTGTCTTGAGATTTACTGCTATTAGTTCTAGAAGCGGCTAAAGCTGCCTCAGCGATCTCGCTAGCCGATCTGACTTTGTGACTGGTTCCTTCTCTTTTGACTTTTAACGCAGTCGGCACAAATTTAGTTGAAGCCGCTTTGAGCGCAGGGTTTATTTGTGGCTTGGCTTGTATCGTTGGCTGGTGTTTGATCGTTATTGCTGGAGTTTTTTCTATAATACTTGGTGGAGCAGTAAAAACTGATCCAGGTGCGTTTCCATCTGGTCTGTTAGGATTTCGACTGCCGAGAGGTACTTGGTTTCCAAGAGGAGGAGGCATCATAGGAGGTGCTACACCTGGAGGTAGAGGTTCATCTACTCTCGTAGGCAGTGGGCGCATAGGTTGACCAGGTATTGGCTGTTCGGCCAGAGCCATTAATCTTGCCTGAACGGGGTCAAGGTTTCCACTATTTGGGGGCATACTTAGACTCCCAGACATCAGACTGTTCTCTTCAAATTCACTGGAACGCGCTGACGTGTAGTATTGCTTGAACTTCTTCAAAGGGGGTTTTCCAGGTGGTGGACCCGGGGGAGCTTTGCCAGTGCTCGCAATTACAGCTGAGAGCTGAGCTGACAGCTGCTTAACACCTGTGATAGACCCGGGTGCGGATGGTTCATCGGATGGCAAGGGAATGTCGTTGAAGTTCATGGATGGTGGCAAAGGAATCTCGTCTAAGTTCACGAACCTCGTTTGTCTGAACAGAAAAACGTTACTTTCATAGCCTTTTCCTTTTACCCTTAAAAACATTTACAATGTAATGTCTTACCTAATTGCTTCAAAATGATGAGCCATTTGTCGTTTTTCTTGTTCGTACTCGCTTATCATTGACTTTACATCTACTGCTCTTTCAGGATCATCTCGGTTGTACAACTTAAGCACTCTGTCCAACGTCTCTACCAACTTTCTTCTCTTTTCTTTGATGACCTTGTCTTGCACCGCAAGGGGACCACGAAGGTCTTCAGGTTCCGGGTCATACTCTTGGCGATCTTAAACGCAACCGAATTGCCATCATTTACGCTTAGCCCATAAAAACTAGAGCGTTTTGTGCTAAAAGTGACTTACCAAGATCGCGCATGTCGTTTAAAATTTGCTCAACATTCTTGTTCTTCAGCACAGACGCTCTCACTGCCATACGCGTTTTTTTGTTCTTTTTTAATTCTTTCCTCCGTGCTTCTTTCCTGGCTTGATCTGTAGGATTCATGAATTTACCACTTTTAGTGGTTGTAGTTGAACGTTTACCCATGATTATCTATCTAAACAGCAGAATAAAGAACAATGAAAAAGGCACCAATCGCGAGTGCCAGAAAATCAGTTTTCATCTTCAGTCGAGTTTTTACAAGAACTTTTGTCAGATTTCGAGACTTTAGAACAATTATTGAATTGAAAATCCAACAAAGTACCATTGTGATGTAGAAAAAGGTGTCATTTTGTCATACGACGGTCTGTGAACAGGTTGAGTTGGATATTAGCAACAATTAGCCTAACTGTTGTGATCAACTTATTAAATAGTTCCATAGAAAATATGCCTGGTACACTGTCCACAATTAGACATCAATTTTTTTTTTCATCTTTTTTTATCTTGGTAATCAGAAGGTCAAAAGTATCATAGTAACCGAGGTTACAGTCATGAGTCCCTTCATCATGTATTCCAGTCAAAATCCTTGGAATTTTCTAGATATGGAAGTGATAATGATAAAAGAAGATGACAAGTGTTTTAGTCCTTTTCAATTAAAATCGATACGGGTTATGTTTCTTCAATAAGAACACGCAACTCGACACGAGATAATATAATATACAAGTGTTACAAGTAAAAAATTTCGTCGAAAGTTATTTAGTCATTTATTGTTCCGAGTACGCAAGCGGCGTTCGCAATCTGTATTGCCAGGGAGATTCTCTGTTTTAAAAAGCTGCCTGCTCTGGGTTCCTCAGTGCATATGCTTAGGTTCTTACAAAGCTTGCTCAAAAAAACTTCTTTGCTGGGGCCGGCCGCGCCCTGAATTTCAAAAGCTAGCGGTTGAAAAAGATATTCATCATTTACAAGATCTTTATACTTGTCAATTTTTTGGCTCTTCCGCTTCAGCGGCAGCCGAACCAGGGTTACAAACAGACCTTGCATTAATCCTACAAGGAGCTAAGGAGTCTACTACCGTTACATCCCACAAGAGCTGCTTACCATCAGCCCATGGAACGAGCGTCAAACCGTCTGGTCGCTTCTGATCGGTCCTGTAGAGGTGTCGTGGTTCTAAAACAGACGGAATGTGAGTAGATGATAGACTCTGCTTTATAAGGGCATTCAGGTTTGAATGCCTAGAGAATCTCCCTGCACTTTTGAGGCAAGAAAGACCATGCCAACCATCCTCGGTAACGTCTTTTCCGCACACGCATTTATGCCGTTCGCATATTTTTGATCCTAATCGAAGTCCTATCGCAATTCTGAGTTGTTGGTTCGACAGTTTTAGCCTTAAATTTTTGCACGGGATGACGTTCAACCATTGGGAGCCAAATCTATCTTGGAACGCGTTGAACTTTTTTACGTCCGTTGGTTCGAGTCGTAAAATCAAGTCTGCAATTTCGCTGTCAAAAATTGGCTCCGTCCAATTTTTTTGGATTTCATTTTCCGGAGCCATTTCAATTTTTCCAAGGTCAAACCACCGTTTAAGCGCATCATCATAGGTTCCATCCACATGCTCCAAACCAAATATATCGCTCAAGGCATCTTTCGCTCCTACTGCTGAGGCTAAGAAAGCGGGTTAAGCGAGTAGACGAGCGGAAGAAACGCCCAAGCCACCTTTGGCTGCCGGGAGAACTGCTTGTAAAAACTGGTTATCATCCATTTTCACGTTAGTGACCTTGCATAACGAATTTCTTAGTAATTTATCGTAGCGTTCCAAAAAATCATTTTGCAAAAAACAAGGGCTCGTACGCAAAAAATATAGGAGTTTTGGCATGCTAAAGCAATTTTTCAGGAGGTAAAAACCATAATGGGCGTCTAGTTTGTCAATGACATCCGATATTTTTTCAAGCTCCCTAATTTTTTCGTCGAGCAATTCTTTTCGGCAAAGTTCATCGATTGGAGATCCTAAAATGAGGAGTTCTTCTTTTGTTTTTGTTTTTATTTTGGGGCATATTTTTCGAAATTGTGTTAAAATTGAATTATACTGTGTACTAGTAGTCGGTCCCAAAAAACAAAGTTCACACTTCTCAGTGTTTAAGCTCAGGCCGTAAATTTGTTCCGATTTCAGAATGTTTTTAAGGTCCCGGAGTACTACCTTATAGTCGTCGGCTAAATTCCCATCATCTAAATACCAGATGTTAATTTTCGACTCCAACTGTTTGACTAGTGTATGAATTGTATGAAAAAGGGGTGGGGCTTCAGGATCATCTTGCTGAGTTCCGTCTTCTGACATTATGACAGTGCTTCCGTAGAAAAGGTAACTAGGTTTACCATACGCGCAATGGGTGTAATTATACAATTCAAGGCGATTTGAAAAAACATGATTCAGCATTGTTTCTCTGTTTAAAGAGTTAAAGGCATTCTTAAAATCTAGTTTTAAAAGAATAGTGCATTTTGGAGTGTTGTCGCGTTCAATTAGGTTTCGAAACGAGTGCGCAGCTATTTCTGCTCCTCGTTTGGTACCGCATCCTACCTGTACGTTTCCGAAAAAATTTTGTCGCTCGGAGAGGGCCTTGCTTCCAGCGCATTTAGACGCGATACGTCTCAGCGTGTTGCCTATGGTAATCGGTCTGAACCCTCCGTCTATCTTTATGAGGGCGATAAGCTTTGCGCCAAAAAAAAAGGTCTTAGTGGTTCGGGTATTTTGCCATCTCCAATGAGGTTTATCAGCTTAGTAAGTGATTTCAGAAAATTAAGTCCTGCACTGCCATCCGACTATTAACAAGATTTTTAAAAATTAGAGGAACTTTTTTATCAGGACCTGCTGCTGATCCGTTTGGAAAGGACATTATCGCTTTGTATAGGTCGAAATCAGTTACGAAAAAACTATCCAATTTTTCTGGATTTGGAGCTGCAAATTTGGCTCGCTGCGGGTGCTTAGACAACAATTTTTGATAGTTATCAGTTGAAAAAGGAGCTATTTTGTCATCCGAAGCAGCAAGCCTTATTCCTCCCTTTACATTTCCTTCATCGAGCTTACTACTTATTAACTTTATTCTCTGCTCGAGGTCACTCAGAGGCGGGCTTGAAACTTGGGGATGGGGATTTGGAAGTGACACGTAATTTGCTCGAATTTTTTTATTTATCAAAGAGCTCATGCTTGTGGTCTGTTTGCGTCCACTTCTTTTCGGTTGCTCCAAAAAAAACAAGAACGACGTTAAAAAAATTAGCCATTTTGTAACATCTTCTACCTTGTAGACGATGTCATTTATTTTGTCCGACAGACTTTCCGCCAAGGGAACACGCGAGTCTTTTGGTACTCTCTTGAGTACTCGGACATTTGAGATGGCTGTATTAACTTAATTGTCTAGCACTAAATCATTACCTATTGTTGCTTTATTAACAGATTTTACATCAACGCATAAAGGACACTGAAACCATTGGGTTTTTTTAGAGTCGCCAAGAGAAATATTTACACAACTGATATGATACCAACTAGAACAACAATCACATCTAATCCAATTTATCAGTCCTGAAGGTTTTAAGCAATCTTTGCTTGTACACTCTTTGTTGTTTTTCCTCATCTTGACGCAGCATAAAGGTAAAAAAAGGATTTTGACTGGACTTTAGGGGACTGAACTAACCCATGATAAGCGGTTAGTGGGAATTTTACAAATCAGCAAATAAAAAAAAGACAACTAAATTAATTTAAAATTTAAAATCGAATTATAAAAATCAAAAACAAGGAACAATCTCACCCGAGCTCAGTAGGTCCAGTGGTGCACCACCAGACTCCTCAAGCCAGTTCCAGTTCCCCATCTCCCCACAGAAAGCCACTTGACAGACCTGTCTCTAAAATCCCTCAGAGGGCGCTCCACACACAGGCACAAACATCAAACATAACAAATCTATTTAATAAGTTTATCTCAACAATTAGGCTAACAGTTGATTAAGACATCGGTTGGTATCAAAGCAACAGGACCAGTTTACAGCCTGCAACAAGTCAACGGCGGAGAACTGGATCTTATGCAAAAAGTGCAATGACTGGTGAACTCATGCGGCATGTATGAGCTACTCAAAGGTTGTGATAAACTTATTAAATAGATTTGTTATGTTTGATGTTTGTGCCTGTTTGTGGAGCGCCCTCTGAGGGATTTTAGAGACAGGTCTGTCAAGTGGCTTTCTAGAAGAAGAAGAAGAAGAAGAAGAAGAAAGAACACCTGAATTACTATACAGTAAAAAGCCGAGGCATCAGTATAGCAAAGTGTAAATAATAAAGTTGGTTAAAATTCATTGGTTACATCAAACAAAAAAAACACAACATCAAAAAACAAGCAATAAACAAAACAAAACAAAACAAAACAAAACAAGTTCGGTTACAGGTCAGAAATTGGTTGATTAAAATATATGAAGTTACGGATACTAAAAAAACATCAGTTTTAAGAATTAAGAACGAGCTGGTATTTTAAGTTTACAAACAATTTTATAGATAGTCCAAACCTACAGCGTATATACAGAGTATATACAGATTCTCTTTTAAACAATGTCTGGAAAATTAAACTAATTTAAAACATAAAGAACTAGCAAAAACGGAAATCACGCCACGTATTTGTATTTGTGGCGTGATTTCTGTGGGGAGGTGGGAAACTGGAACTGGCTTGAAGAGTCTGGTGGTGCACCGCTGGACCTACTGAGATCGGGTGAGATTGTTCCTTGTTTTTGATTTATATAATTCGATTTTAAAATTTTGAATTAATTTAATTGTCTTTTATTTTTTTTTGCTGATTTATAAAATTCCCACTAACCGCTTATCATGGGTTAGTTCAGTTCCTAAATTCCCGTCAAAATCCTTTTTTTTTCTTTATGCTGCGTCAAGATGAGGAAAAACAACAAAGAGTGTACAAGCAAAGATTGCTTAAAACCTTCAGGACTGATAATGTCATGACATATGATAACATATGATTGTTGTTCTAGTTGGTATCATATACGTTGTGTAAATGTTTCTTTTAGCGATTCTAAGAAAACCCAATGGTTTCAGTGTCCTTTATGCGTTGATGTAAAATCTGTTAATAAAGCAACAATAGGTATTGATTTAGTGCTAGGCAATTATGTTAATACAGCCATATCAAATGTCCGATTACTCAAGAGAGTACCAAAAGACTCGCGTGTTCCCTTGGCGGAAAGTCATTCGGGCAGAATAAATGAAATCGTCTACAATGTAGATGTTACAAAATGGCTAATTTTTTAAATGCCAATCTTGTTTTTTTTGGAGCAACCGAAAAAGAAGTGGACGCAAACAGACCACAAGCATGAGCTCGTTGATAAATAAAAAAAATTCGAGCAAATGACGTGTCACTTCCAAAACCCCATCCCCAAGATTCAAGTCCACCTCTGAGTGACCTCGATCAGAGAAAAAAGCTAATAAGTAGTAAGCTCGATGAAGGAAATGTAAAAGGAAGAATAGGGCATGCTGTTTCGGATGACAAAATTGCTCCTTTTTCAACTGATAAATATCAAAAATTGATGTCTAAGCACCCTCAGCGAGCCAAATTTGCAGCTCCAAATCCGGAAATTTCGGATAGTTTTTTCGTAATTGATTTTGACCTATACAAAGGATAATGTCCTTTCCAAACGGATCAGCAGCAGGTCCTGATAAAAAAGTTCCTCTAATTTTTAAAAATCTTGTTAATAGTCGGATGGCAGTGCAGGACTTAATTTTCTGATATCGCTTACTAAGCTGATAAACCTCATTGGAGATGGCAAAATACCCGAACCCCTAAGACCTTTTTTTATCGCAAAGCTTATCGCCCTCATAAAGATAGACGGAGGGTTGAGACCGATTACCATAGGCAACAAGCTTAGACGTATCGCGTCTAAATGCGCTGGAAGCAAGGCCCTCTCCGAGTGACAAAACTTGATTTTAAGAATACCTTTAACTCTCTAACTAGAGAAACAATGCTGAATCATGTTTTTTCAAAGCGCCCCGAATTGTATAATTACATTCATTGCGAGTATGGTAAACCTAGTTACCTTTTCTACGGAAGCACTGTCATAATGTCAGAAGACGGAACTCAGCAAGATGATCCTGAAGCCCCACCCCTTTTTCATACAATTCATACACTAGTCAAACAGTTGGAGTCGAAAATTAACATCTGGTATTTAGATGATGGGAATTTAGCCGACGACTATAAGGTAGTACTCCGGGACCTTAAAAACATTCTGAAATCGGAACAAATTTACGGCCTGAGCTTAAACACTGAGAAGTGTGAACTTTGTTTTTTGGGACCGACTACTAGTACACAGTATAATTCAATTTTAACACAATTTCGAAAAATATGCCCCAAAATAAAAACAAAAACAAAAGAAGAACTCCTCATTTTAGGATCTCCAATCGGTGAACTTTGCCGAAAAGAATTGCTCGACGAAAAAATTAAGGAGCTTGAAAAAATCTCGGATGTCATTGACAAACTAGACGCCCATTATGGTTTTTACCACCTGAAAAATTGCTTTAGCATGCCAAAACTCCTATAATTTTTGCTTAAGAGCCCTTGTTTTTTTGCACAGTGATTTTTTCGAACGCTACGACAAATTACTAAGAAATTCGTTATGCAAGGTCACTAACGTGAAATGGATGATAACCAGTTTTTACAAGCAGTTCTCCCGGCAGCCAAAGGTGGCTTGGGCGTTTCTTCCGCTCGTCTACTCGCTTAACCCGCTTTCTTAGCCTCAGAATTAGGAGCAAAAGATGCCTTGAGCGAAATCTTTGGTTTGAAGCATAAGGATGAAACCTATGATGATGCGCTTAAACGGTGGTTTGAAATTGGAAAAATTGAAATGGCTCAGGAAAATGAAATCCAAAAAAATTGGACGGAGCCAATTTTTGAAAGCGAAATTGCAGAGTTGATTTTACGACTCGGACCAACGGACGTAAAAAGATTCAACGCGTTCCAAGATAGATTTGGCTCCCATTGGTTGAACGTCATCCCGTGCAAAAATTTAAGGTTAAGACTGTGGAACCAACAACTCAGAATTGCGATAGGATTTCGATTAGGCTCAAAAATATGCGAACGGCATAAATGCGTGTGCGGAAAAGACTTAACGAGGATGGTTGGCATGGTCTTTCTTGCCTCAAAAGTGCAGAGAGATTATCTAGGCGTTCAAACATGAATGCCCCTGTAAAGCAGAGTTTATCTTCTACTCACCCTCCGTCTGTTTTAGAACCACGACACCTCTACAGGACAAATCAGAAGCGACCAGACGGTTTGACGCTCGTTCCATGGGCTGTTGGTGAGCAGCTCTTGTGGGATGTAACGGTAGTAGACTCTTTAGCACCTTGTAGGATTAATGCCGGGTCTGTTTGTAACCCTGGTACGGCTGCCGCTGAAGCGGAAGAGCAAAAAAATGACAAGTATAAAGATCTTGTAGATGATGGATATCTTTTTCAAGATTTTGAAATTCAGGGCGCGGCCGGCTCCAGCACATAATTTTTTTTGTTCAAGCTTCGTAAAAACCTAAGCATATGCACTGAGGAAGCCAGAGCAGGCAGCTTTTTAAAACAGAGAATCTCCCTGGCAATACAGATTGCGAACGCCGCTTGGTACTCGGAACAAATAATAACAAAAAAACTTAAGACGAAATTTTTTATTTGTAACACTTGTATTTTATATTTATCTTTTAATGTTTCCCTGAAGGAAGCAATTTGAAACGACTTACAGAAGCTGTACAGCCAGGAAAAACTCCTCCTGAAATTCAGAGAGCAATCATGAAAAAGCTTTTGAATATGGCGGTCAGCAAAAGTTATTTCGAGTGTAATGATTCATGGTATATGCAGGTTGATGGTATAGCAATGGGTGTTTCTCTTGCGATAATTCTGGCAAACCTATGGCTGAAGGAGTACGAGTTTGCTCTAAGACAAGAAATACCGGTTGGAACTGAGATACAGCCAATGAATGACAAAAACGGTTTGTGCCCATGATGCCGCAGGAAAGTAACATATAGATTAAAGGGAGTTGAATGCGAGTGTTGTCGAAACTGGTAATCTAAAATGCGGAAATTTATTCGATACCCATCAAAAACCGAGATATCCTGGTACTGCGAAAGCTGCGGCTGCGCTAAGAACAAGGAAAATGATATTCAACAAGTAGAGTTGTTCCTCACGTATGTGGATGACACTGTCGGAACAGTGAGAGGTGAGCCGAGTTGTGTTCTCGATGCCGCCAAATCTCTTCATCCAAATCTACAGTTCAATCTAGACGAAACTAATTCAGGGGGTAATTTGCCGTTCCCGGATTTGAACATAAATGTATCGCAGGATAGGGGTGTAACCTGTAATTGGTATCAAAAAGAAAACAAATACTTGAACTATACTGAACTATAGAAGCTGCGCCCCACCTCAGTGTTTAAGCGTAGTGTTATCCAAAGCATTGTAGACTGAAGTTGTAGGAGTACATCTAACTGGCAGCACTTTGATAAGGCTATGGAAACTAATAGGGCACAATGGCTGACAAATCAGTACCCTGAAAGTTGGTCGGCAAAAATTTTTGTAAATCAGTGGTTAACGTAAAGGTTACTATGATACTTTTGACCTTCTGATTACCTTTAAAAAATTAGAAAAAAAAAGCAGTGAAGAAAAAAACAACATTCGTCCGGAAATACATACCAACGGAAAAAAAGCTAGGTTATGAATCGACTGGCTAGCGTCTAAACACAGCATCACATGCTTTTAATCGTCTCTACCAAATCCAGTTCTATGTGAGGTCCAATAAAATCGGGTCGACAGAGTCATTCTGTTGTCGATAAGCTTGTGTCGAGGAGCTGACAAACTATTTGAAATCAAAGAGGCAGCAGATATTGGCGATCGTCTGTTGCAGAATGGAAGGAACGTCCAACTTGTTTAGTCAGCTACTCGGCACAGGAGAGCTCATTA